AATACCTGGTATTTGGTAAGTGCTCATTGGTCACTCATACGAAATATTTGGACACCTACTGTGTGCCGGGTATGACTTTCAATGAAGTAACTGGCAAATATATGGTAGTTCCCTGCAGTTGCATCCCTGGAAATATCATTAGTGTACTAAAGTGCCACTTAACAGAGATAGTTCTTTTTTTCTTTATAATTCCAAAGGGTTTTATTTTAGCAGAACCTGAGCAACTGAGCATTTAGTATTTATCTGAAGCGTTTATTGCTCCCAGAAGGTGTCCACAAACTAAAATCACTGCATCTGCAAAGACTCCTGTTCTGAAGCAAATCTGTAATCCAGAGGATTTTGGATTATAAATCAGGCTAAATGAAGATATTCTCAGGAATTCCCTGGTGGCCCAGTGGTTAGGACTCTGCTTTCACTGTGGTGGCCCAGGTTCAATCCTGGTTGGGGAACTAAGATCCCGCAAGCCGGGCAGCACCACCAAACAAACAAATTGATTCATTTGTTCGTTCATTCATTCATTCATTCTAATGTTAAGTTTCACTCCAAGAGCATGGTGGGATGCAGTTAATGCTTTACTTAGTTTTCATGACAAGTTAAATACGCAGTTAATACTGTTTTAAAATAATGCTCATATGTCTTAACGGTACAGAGCTATAATATCCTCCCAAGACAATATAATTGTGGAAGGGAAATCAAAGTGAACAGAAAAAAGTATGGGGTATGACTTCCAGCTGTTCAGCAAAGTAACCTATTACTATGCTGAATTTACGTATGATCTTGAACTTGACATACAAGCTATTGGTATAGGAAAACACTGGTCCCTAGTAAACTGTCTCATACAAATAAGTTTTCATAGGAACTACTGAGTTTGAATCTGTTTCTAATGCTTTAAAAATGTAAATGTGGGTCCTATTGAACAAGGGTATTATTGAGGTGATTGAGTCATTATCTAAATTTTTAGGTAAGAAACCTAGGACCAAAGCACCCAAGATTCAGCGTCTTGTTACTCCACGTGTTCTGCAACACAAACGTCGGCGAATTGCTCTGAAGAAACAGCGCACTAAGAAAAATAAGGAAGAGGCTGCAGAATATGCTAAACTTTTGGCCAAGAGAATGAAGGTAAGTCCTCTGTGTGTGTTGGGGGGCTGGCTTTGGATTTGCATTTTTAATCCAGATAAGCTTTAACTGTGCTTTTTTTTTTTGGTTTTGTTTAGGAGGCCAAAGAAAAACGCCAGGAACAGATTGCCAAGAGACGGAGGCTGTCCTCTCTGAGAGCTTCTACTTCTAAGTCTGAGTCCAGTCAAAAATGAGATGTTCTTAGAGTAACAAATAAATAAGATCAGACATCACATCTCCTTTATTGACTTTTAATTGATGATAAAAGTAAACGAAGGTCGAGAAACTTATAGAAGAGGAGGTACTGTATAATCTTGTGGTAGAGAAAAGTCTGCAAGAGATACCTGAAAGTGATAATCCTTCAGATTCAGACACTGAGACTGAACTGGGATAGTGGAAGAGATGGCCAGCACAGAGTTTCTTTGGTGGGTGGCTCAGGAAAGGACTCCTAGCATATTCATCGGCTTTTTAGCAAGGTATTGAACAGTATAGGGGAAATAAATGACGAGGACTATTAATCTTTGATATACTTTATTTTGAGGAATACAGTTTTTCTTAAAGATCTATACATGATACATGAAAAGTGCCCTTGTGAAGATGGACATTTGTCATATGTAAAAAGGATAACTTGTTAAAAGCATAGTTAATGGATACCATTTTAAAATAGTTGACAAAGCTTTTAAAACCAGTGCAAATTTAATGCATTAACAGAAAACTTTTCAACTCTACTTGTTTTTATTATATTTCACTGCAAAGGAGTTGACTGTACCTCTTTTTAGAAACACTCTTGCATCAGTGAAGGATGCACAGAGAAAGTATACTTTTGGCTGCAACATGCAGCTTGTGGGGTGTGGGATCTTAGTTCCCTGACCAAGGATTGAACCCAGGCCCTTGGCAGTGAGAGTGTGGAGTCCTAACCACTGGACTGCCAGCAAAGTCCCAAAAGTATACTTTTTCTAATGTACTATGTCTGGTTTCTATAGTAATTGCAGTTAGCACCTTCATTCATACCATTATATAGACTAGAAGGGTCTTAAAAGAAGGCACATTAGGCTTTAAAAGGTGCTCCTTTGCCAGAATATATTAACCACAGGTGAGTAAAATTTTCAAGCGGCTGTAACATGTAGAGACTGAAGAAGTGCTTCAGTTAAAGTGTGCATAAGAATCACCTGGGGATCTGGCTATACAGTAGATTAGGATTTGGTAGTTGGGGCCCCACAGTCATTAATAAGTTCCCAGGTTAGGCCAGTAATGCCAGCCCTGAAGCAAGATTGATAGAGGAGATCCCCGTCGCTTTTTTTTTTTTCCTTTAAATTGGAGTACAGTTGATTTACAATGTTGTGTTATTCTGCTGAACAGCACCCATAGCTCTTAATGTAATATTAAAAAGTTACAAAAGTCTTAAAGTCTTAATTGGCAATTGACAAAGTTAGAAGTTAAATTTACAGCATTTAAAAAAAGATACCCAGTACCAGAAGGACTGACACTACAGTTGAATCCTAGAGGGTAACAGGCCAAAAGGCAGGTCTGGTGTAAGCCCAGAATTCTAGCTAGTATAGCTGGTTGATCCTAATGCATAAAACATGAGAACCACCCTGCTTTCTTATTTTAAGGAGTACAGTCACTGAGGTGGATAGGTAAGGTGGGCCTAGACGATACTAGCTTATGAAATCTGGCAGATTTAAGAGTTTAACATTGCAAAGACATTGAATCCTATATTACTAGTGTATACCAAAAATGAAAAGGGCAACAGTTGAATATCCCAAAGGTATGTCAGACTTGTTTATGATTGTTAACTCATTAACTGTGCAGGTTGCTATAATCAGTCTATGAAATGCAGTTAATACCAAATCTAAAACCAGTGTAAGGTTATGCTAAACAATCTGCCATAATTTGGAAGATCGCTTTCAGAAGTTAATCAGGATTTAAGTCTCATAAAGTCATTCTAGATATTTCTAAATCTATAGATAATGATTTGAAATCTGTTCTTTTTGGTCTGTTTTTGCTATAAATTTTTACTGCCCTTTCTGTGGTTGGTGCAAGAAAGGGCCTTTAAGCAATTTTAATACAAATCAGTCTCAATTTCTGAATGACAGCCACAGGCTAAGCTTTCCAATATATAATGGTGAAGTTATTTAGATTAATATTAAAAAGCTATTAGAAGTTTTATAATTTGATACAATATAGCAAAATATTCTTAAATGTGTAAGGAGATCTTTATCACAGGGTTGTTCTAGTGGGAAGTGCTTTGGTAATTTAGTTCAAGTTATTGAGAACTACAGAGGAGTGGAAAAACAATACTGAAGATCACAAAAGCTTGAATTACTGTACACACTTCAGGAGCCTTAAAAATGTAAGACAAGCACAGCAAACTTGAGTTTTCATTTTATTCAACCTTGATTTTTTTATATGCAAAGTAATTCCAAACTATCTGTTGGGGCAATAAGTGTTAAGTATTAAAACTAGTACCAGGTCTTAAGTTGCAAAAATATATTCTCTGAGACAGTGCAAAAGATCCATTTTTAAGGCAGTGAGTTTCTGACAAGTTCTTTCACTTACCACTTTCACAATAAATTGAAACTAGGATTCTACATAGGTCTTATTAACCCTGAAATGTTGGAAGATTGGTATAGTAATTTTTAAAAGATTATGGCAGGTAGAAAGGAGATGTGGGCTGTTAACTATACCATTTGGAAATAATTACCAACTGATTTAGTCATCTGCATAATTACTGTAAAAGCAAGCAAACACAATCATTGGCTTTTCAAACCATGCATGCAGAGAGAGAAGGCAAATTTACTGTTCCTAAGGGATGTGTTAACGAAAGGCATGATAAATGTCAGAGTGAGGCATGTGAGGCCATGATTTTCTTAAACCCACTGGCAACAAGTTTAATAAGCTTTAACGTTTTAAGACGATTGATTCAGCCTAAAAAACTATTTACAAATGCACAAATAGTAAGTGTACAAATCTAAATTTTATACAAGAATAAAATTCTTCGTGCAGTGCAAGTTATCCCACAGGTTTTTAAAAGTGACCAATAGCAACAATTTATGTGCCTGAACAATTTCAGGCCCAAAGACATACACAAGAATTTTAATTTTGTAAATTATGAAGCTGATTAATTTCATTTAAACTATCTGGCTCATTTATTCCAATTTTAAAGCTGTTGCAAATTAACATGATACTGGGAAGAGGATAAAAGGAAGTAACTGGATATTCAAGATACAATCCATTAAGGGAGCTATACATAACATGAAGGGTAAAAATATATATTAATTTTAAAGTCAAAGGCAAGGCAGTTATCAGACTTTCAGGTAATTTTGAGATTAATGACTACATACGAATTTAGTAGTAGTCATTTATTTAATAGTTGGAGACCCCCTTTCAGAAAACTTAATTGCTACATGCAATCTAAGAATTTTAATAAATATAATATGGCTGAGTAGATACACAGCCACACGTATATACACAATACACAAATAGTTGCTCTTATAATTGAGATTTCGTTTGTTTCGGAGTTAGGCAAGTTTACATTAATTTGCCATTCCCCAAACTCAATAGCTTCAGATACAGACAAAATGCCAAGAATGAATATGGTTTCTCATTATCGAACTGCTACAAATACTGAGAAATGCAAAACCAATTTTCAGCAGATAAAAACAGTTCAGAAATTGTAAATCTTCAACATCAGTAAACCCTAGGGCATTTTCGTGGCATTTTTACCTTCTGAGATGATTCAGTATGAATTACATTTCATTATCTGTTGTCCCAAGAATAACTTCGTTTCAGTTTTCACCAATTCGTAATTTGAAACAAACCTTGAATGTCTCCAGATTGAATCTATTTCTCCAGTTCTGTGTCCAAAATCTAGTGAATCTTATTTAAATGAGAGGTGCTCCAAAACACTTCCTGCACCACTCCACACTGATACTTGGTGGAGCGTCAATTTTCTGCAACTTTTCAAGAATGTCTGTAGATAAACTATTGTATGCAAGTCCATACTCATTGTCAAAAGCCTCTGAAAGATATTTTCAAAAGTATAGTTGGTATTTCTTTATAATAAATAAATAATAAAAGCTACGCATTTAAAAATGGTAGTCAAATCTTTTTTGTGTGTGTGTGTGCGGTACGCGGGCCTCTCACTGTCGTGGCCTCTCCCGTTGCGGAGCACAGGCTCTGGACGCGCAGGCACAGTGGCCATGGCTCACGGGCCCAGCCGCTCCGTGGCAAGCGGGATCTTCCCGGACCGGGGCAAGAACCCGTGTCCCCTGCATCGGCAGGCGGACTCTCAACCACTGCGCCACCAGGGAAGCCCTAAATCATTTTTATATACATATTTAAACTGCATATTAAAGGCAGAAATTTAAAGGAGTATCTGCCCACACCAATTAGAATTTTAAAAGTTTCTTTAGGAAATAAGACTTAAACCCCCTTTAAAGAATCCCCAGTTGACGAACTTACCAATATCAATATTCTCTCTTCCAAGAGATACTAATGATAAGAAGAGGATTTCTCTGTATAAACTCCTATAAAACAAATATTTTTTTAAATTAATGGTCAAAGAGCATAAAAATACCCTATGAAGGTTTTTTAAAATGGTGAAAAAACACGACATTGTAAATCAACTATAGTTGAAAAAAAAAAAAAGATTAGGTTCTGTAGTTAACAGTAATGTATCCATCCACGTCAGTGTTCTGGTTTTGACATTACACTACACTTATGAGATGTCACCTTTGGGAGAAGCTGGGTAAAGGGTCCACGGAACTCTCTGTACTATCTTTGCAATTTCTTGCAAACTTATGTTTCAAATTAAAAAGTTAAAAGTTAATGGGCATAAAGCTTCACATTCGAAATAACTAAGAATGGCTTATTTTAACTTTATTGTAATTATTTAACAATATAATAGGTAACTTTTAATTCTAATTTCTAATTCAGATTTACAAAAGCAGACTTTTGCCACATGACAAAGTAAGAGATGAATTTCTAAGTAAGTTAGGGGTCTAAAACCCTTGGACACAAACAGTATGAAAGATGGTGTGGTCTCTACTACTTAACCCAACAGTAAAGGATAAATCACCTTTATTTGATTAGCGAACATAAAAATGTTACAAATGAAACCTTAAAAATGAGATTCGTGACTCATTTGTTAAAAAAAGGGGAAACTTATGAACTGATTTGAGTATTTACAGAAAAAAAAATTAGAGAGTAATGCTGATTCTGATGATGCTCCATGCAGCTTTCTTTAGAAGTTTCAGAAGCCATAGTATGTCATTTCTAATATTCCTTCCCTGTCCTTCAACTACAGATACTTGCAAGTGGCTGCTCTTTAGCCTGTGAAAGAGATCATCTCTACCTCAACTGTTGAGATTATAGAAGGATCTATCCATTTTCATTATGAATTCTTGTCCTGTCATTTCTGAGACTATCTTCAAAGATGCCATGACTAGAAACTTGAAGAGCACCTGGAAACACTGTTTATGTTTGATAGAAGGTATTATGTCTCTCTTTCTGAAGCTTCCACCACAAAATTCACTTATGCTGAGACTGGGATGAGTACTGATCCAAGCGTGTTAGCAGACAATAAATAGTAAGAGGATCAGGATAGCTTCATACCGTTTGTAATTCATTGCTTCCATCATCTTCCTAAATTGTTTCTACTCCTAAACCCATATTTTTTCTTTACATCTCACAAGATAAGATGCGTGACAGGACCTGAACGAGCAGTACATGTGTATGACATCAATGTTAACAAATATATAGGTTTCCAATGAATAGTAGTAATGTTTTCACAAAGACTCAGTACGTTTTAGACATAAATGAATTACCTCCTAAAATTTAATCTATTTCCCAGATATTTTTATTATGTTTGTGATCAAGTATGAATGCATTTGGGTAGCACTTTTTAAGACAATCAGATGTTCTACAATGAGTATGTGTTTCTTTTACAACTAGAGATAGTTTTAAAAATCATTTTTAAAATACCATGAAATTATTTCGAATGGTATCAAGTACCAAATACTGATTACCTTTGTCTTTTCATGTCTCCCTTCATTTGTTGTGAAAGCAGGTTGATGGGCTTAAGAACATCATTATGTTGAATACTCTGCCTGATGGTTTCTACTAAAGCGCTTGTTGCTTGTTGTTCCTCTGACAGGAGAGACAGTTTCTTTTCAGAATCTAATAATAAGAACACAGTAAAAGAATACATTTAGTCACTCTAATTATTAAAGAAGTTTTTTTTCAGATTTGTATCATTTTTTATTCAACACCACCTCCCCATCACAAGTAAAATTATGTAGTAATGTGACCAGCTAAAAAATATTTTTCTTGCTTTCTTCAGATAGGAGAGGCCTTGTCCCTTTGCCCTTTTCCTGAACTAAGGGCTTCCTGCTTGAGGCTGGAATGTGATATCTTGTATGCCAGCAGCCATCCTGTGACCATGAATCTTTCCTGATGGAAAAGCAGACAAAGCATAAGGAGCCTGGGTCTCTGATGACAGAGGAGTTGCCTACCAGTCCTGGAGTATCTAATTCATAAATTCTTCGTGTGAGAGAATAATCTTTACCTGTTTAAGATTCTGTTGTTTTCTATTAAATACAGTAGCGTATAATCCTAATTGATACAAGGGTAATTCTAGAATTATTAAGAACAAATATTTATACAGATTTCATATATTACAAAAGTGCTTCAGTGGTATACTTGAATCACAGTACCATTAAAAATCAACAATGTGAGCTTGGCCCAGAAAAAGGGAAAACTTTAATACTGTAGGTAATCCCAGCAGCCATACAATTTTATTACACCCACATTAGTTGAGATGGAACTATGTATCCAAAAGTTCCCCAGTCAGCCTCATTTTAAGTGTCTGTCATAAAACAAGTTACTGTAATTTTCATACAATCCAGCCCCTTAATAAAGGCAACTAGGAATATTTCATTTGTGTTCAAATCATAGAAACAGCAAAGTTCTCTGTTACAATACAAGAGGAAATACTGGCTGCTATGGGTTTTGATCCTAGTTTTTCTACATGCTAAATAGATTTGATTTTCATGTTATGTTGTGATTTTAGAGCATAACCCAAATATAATATGCAACTTCACTATTGCTCCTTAATTCACAGAGTTGGGCAACCATCACCAATTTTAGAACATTTTTATCTCCTCCAAAAGAAATCTACCTATTAGCAGTCACTCTATCTTCCCAACCCCTCAGCCCTAGGCAACCACTAATCTTTGTCTTTACAGATTTGCCTATTCTGATTGTTTGATATAAATGGAATCATACTTTCTGTTCTCTTTTGTGGCTGCTGCTTCTATAATATTTTAAAATTCATTCATTTTGTAATATGTATCAGTATTCACTAGTTTTTATTGCCGAATAATATTCCATTGGATGGATATACCATACTTTATCCATTCATCAGTTAAAATGAACATTTAGGTTGTTTTCATTATTTGGACATTAAGAAAAATGCTGCTAAAAACAGTGTACAAGTTTTTATGTGGATGTATGTCTTCATTTCTCTTGGGTGTATACCGAAGAGTGCAACTGCTGTGTCATATGGTAACTGTTTACCATTTTGAGGAACGGTGAAACTATTTACACCAAAGCAGCTGCACTATTTTTATACCAATTAGCAGTGAACCAGGAAGAGATCCAACTTTATTTTTTCTGCATGTTGTTCCAGTTGTCCAGCACTACTTGTTGAAAAGACTATTCTTTACCCACTGAATGGTCCTTGGCACTCTTGTTGAAAGGCATTTAACTGTACATGTGAGGGTTTATTTCTGGAAACTCAACTTTATTCCATTGACCTATATGTCTATCCTATGCCAGTTTTCTACTTTCTTGATTACTGTAGCTTTGTAGTAAGTTTTCAAATTCAGAAGTATGAGTCCTACAACTTTGTTCTTCTTTTTCAAGACTGTTTTGGCTATTCTAGGTGCCTTGAAAATCCATATGAATTTTAGGATAAGCTTGTCAATTTCTATAAAAAAGCCACCTGGAATTTTGATATAGATTGTACTGAATCTATAGATCAATTTGGGAGTACTGCCATCTTAACAATATTAACTTTTCTGGCCCATGAACTTTCTTTCCATTTACTTAGGTGGTCTTTACTTTCTTTCAACAATAATTTTAGTTTTCAGAGTATAATAAGTTTTGTACTTATTTTATCAAATTTATTCCTAAGAATTTTATTCTTTTTAATGCTATTATAAATGGAATTATTTTAATTTTTGGATTATTCATTGAAAGTATATAGAAATACAGTTGATTTCTATGTATTGATCTTATATCCTGCAACTCTGCTGAGCTTATTTAATAAGTTCCGTATGTTTTGTGTGTGTGTGTGTGTGTGTGTGTGTGTGTGTGTGTGTGTGTATTCCTTAGGATTTTCTAATTTAGGATTTTCTATATGTAACATGACATAATCTGCAAGTAGAGATAGTTTTACTTTTTCCTTTCCATCTTGGATGCCTTTTATTTTCCTGTCTAATTGTTCTAGCAAGAACCTCCAGTACAGTGTTGAAAAGAAATAATGAAAACAGACATCTTTGTCTTGTTCCTGTACTTGGGGGAAGTATTCAGTCTTTTACCATTAAATGATATCAACTGTGGGTTTTCAGAGGCTCATAATTAGGTTGAGGAGGTTCCTTTCTATTCCTAGCTTGGTTTTTTTTTTTTTTTTTTTTTGTTGTTGTTGTTGTTGCTTTGGGTCTTAGTTGCAGCACTCAGGATCTTCCCTGTGGCATGCGGGATCTTTTGTTGTGGAGCGCAGGCTCCACTGCTGCAGTGCATGGACTCTCTAGTGGCGCGTGGGCTGTAGAGCGCACCAGCTCAGTAGTTGTGGCGAGCAGACCTAGTTGCTCTGCAGCATGTGGGATCTTAGTTCCCCAACCAAGGATCGAACCCTTGTCCCCTGCATTGGAAGGCGGATTCTTAACCACTGGACCACCAGGGAAGTCCCTTGTTGAGTGTTTTTAACAAAGGGCAATAGATTTTATCCAGTGCTTTAGCTGTGCCTATTCAGACGATCATATGGATCTTGTTCCTTTATTTTATTGATATGATATATATTAATTGATTTTCAAACCAACACGGCATGCCTGGCGTAAACAGCACTCTGTCATGGTGTACAATTGCTTTTCTAAATTGCTGGATTTGGTTGGCTAGTATTTTGTTGAGGATCCTTAGGTCCATATTTGTAAGTGATACAGATTTTTAGTTTTGTTTTCTTATGATGTCTTTGGTTTTTGTATCAGGGTAATGCTGGCCTTCTCACCCAAATTTCCGCTCTTTCCAAGAGTGCTTTCAGGCTTGAACTTCTCCACAGTCTGTCCCAAATAAAATCATTTCCTTTGGGGAGAATTTCAGAGCGCTCTCTTCTTATGGCCTGTCTCTCAGCCGCTGCTCTGGAGCTGGGGCTGGGAACAGTGGTCCTTCTCTTGGAATGATTCTCCTGCTTTGTGAATGGGGTACTGGAGGGATGCAGTTGCCTCTGATGTTTTAGCTTGCCTCTCCTGGCATAAAACCTCTCCCTTATGAGCAAGACGCTGTGAGAACAATCAGAGACCCAGTATTCGAGGGCTGCTGAAGCTGGCAGTGCATGGGGGCTGAGTGGAGGAAGTGAGCCTCCCTGTCTCCTGGAACTGAATAGAGCTGGGAGGAGAACTGCTGGCAACCTGTCTTTCCCAGGGAGATGCTGTAGCCCTTGACTGGGGGCTGGTGGGGGGCAGCAAGTTGTAGCTCAAATGCCACAGAAACTCACCGTTCTTACTGAAATTTAATATATTTTCTTTTTTAAAAAATTTATTTATTTATTTATTTTTAGCTGAGTTGGGTCTTCGTTGCTGCACATGGGCTTTCTCTAGTTGCAGCGAGTGGGGGCTACTCTTTGTTGCGGTGCACGGGCTTCTCATTGCGGTGGCTTCTCTTGTTGCAGAGCATGGGCTCTAGGCATGCGGGCTTCAGTATTTGTGGCACGTGGGCTCTAGAGTGCAGGCTCCGTAGTTGTGGCAAACGGGCTTAGTTGCTCTGCGGCATGTGGGATCTTCCCGGACCAGGGATCAAACCCATGTCGCCTGCACTGGCAGGCGGATTCTCAACCACTGTGCCACCAGGGAAGACCAATATATTTTCTTGCATAAATATTTCTTCATTTGCTCGACAGCTGTAGACACTTTTTTTAAATAACTTTCACCAATTATGGTTGTTTCGCTGGGAAATGGGGACTTCATAGCTCCCCATACTGCTTTTCCAAAAGTCACCACTTAATTCTATTTTTATCTTTTAATGTTATTTATATACCAATTCTTTGTTTAAAGTAGCCAATCAACTAAAGAAACAAGGCTATTCTTGAGAGTTCTAAATTTTATTCTCACCACAAATTATAGGACATTTAAAAACACTTATCTATTTCAAGATATGCAGGAAAACAACTAAAGAAGTGGCAGTTATAATTCTATTATTTTCCAGCATAAATTTCAAAGTTACTCTGCTTCTGCTTAAAAAGCATTCAAATATCAGAACTGGGAAAACAACAACAAAAATAGCTTATAATATATTTAGCCATAATTTTGTGATTGGCATATTTCAAGGGAAAATGTCAGATTCTTTTATTCTAGCATAAGTAAAAAAAACTGCTAAGTAGTGAAAGATTGTAGCAAAAATACAAAATAAAGAGTGGGGGCTTCCCTGGTGGCACAGTGGTTGCAAATCAGCCTGCCAATGCAGGGGACACGGGTTTGAGCCCTGGTCCAGGAAGATCCTATATGTGCGGAGCAACTAAGCCCGTGCACCACAACTACTGAGCCTGCGCTCCAGAGCCCATGAGCCACAACTACTGAGCCTGCATGCTGCAACTACTGAAGCCCACACACATAGAGCCTGTGCTCCACACCAAGAGAAGCCACTGCAATGAGAAACCGGTGCACCGCAACGAAGAGTAGCCAATGCAGCCAAAAAAAAAACAAAAACAAAAACAAAAAAAACCCAGAGTGAACTTTTCCATTCTTCTTCTGAGCAGGTACTGTTAACAGCTTGGGACATACACGGTTTTAGACCTTTTTCTATGCATATATTAAAAACACAAATATTTTTGGTTTCGTTTTTCTACAAAAAAGAGAGAAGATCACATACTGTTCTGCAACTTGCCATTTTTTTCACTTAATATATAACGAAAATCCATCCTTTCGGGGACCTATATACAAATGACTCATTCTTTTTCTTGGTTGCCAACATCTCATAGTGTGGATTTATCACAATTCTCTTGTTAGGTTTTTGCTTAAGTTTTTCATTATTATAAATAATCTTACAGTATGCATCACTGTACCAACAGCTTTGTACACTGTATACCTATAGAACAGAGCATTTTAATGTTTCTTCCATGAACTGCCTATTGATACCATTTACTCACTTACCTACTGGGTTGTCTGTGGTTTCTTACTGACGCATAAGGCTTCTGAATACTGGATAACCCTTTAAACCCCTTGTAAAAATACGTTCTAAATACAAAAACTAAAAGTAAGGCCAGGGGATTCCCTGGTGGCACAGTGGTTGGGAGTCTGCCTGCCAACACGGGACACGGGGTCGAGCCCTGGTTTGGGAGGATCCCACAGGCCGCACAGTGACTGGGCCCATGCACCACAACTACTGAGCCTGCGCTCTGGAGCCCGCGAGCCACAGCTGCTAAGGCCCACAATGCCTGGTGCCTGTGCTCTGCAACGGGGGAGGCCGTCACAGTGAGAGGCTCATGTGCCACGGTGAGGAGTGGCCCCTGCTTGCCGTAACTAGGGAGAAGCCCGTGTGCAGCGGTGAAGACTCAGTGCAGCCAAAAATAAATAAATAAAATTTATAAAAAATAAAGCCAGAATCTTTGAGACTAGTACCCATATAACTGAAATTATGATCTATACCAACACATCCACTATAGAGAATTTACTCTCCAAGTACCTAACCAAATTAGTATTTGACAGATAAACTACAAGAATCACAAAAAAAAACTCCTGATAAATGGGTCAGTACAACAACAAAAAAATTTGAACTAAAATGGAAAAAATCTTGAGGAGATACTAAAAATGAATAAAAGATTTAAAAATAAAGCAAAATAATTTCTGTCATCTCCTTAATTCTATTTTTTTCCCCCAGTAGTCCATTTTTCTTTATTGCTACAGTATTCTACTGTGTGGATGGACTGTACCATAATTTGCTTATGTATTCACCTGTGGATGGGTATTTGGGTTGTTTCTAGTTTGAGTGTTTTATGTCTTTAATTCTATTTTACTTACTAAAATTCCTCCATGAGACATACAGAGGTTCTCCTGGTTCCTGATGAAGGTTGATATTATCCCATAACAGCTGAATATACACGAGTTTGCTATCCTGGGACAGAGATGACAGAGGAAGCTAAAAAAGATCAGTAGAAAGTATTAGTACCCCAAGCATAATAATAATTACCAGTGGACCTAGCAAAGCTTGATTATATAAAACAGATGAGTTCTTTCAAAATTCTGGACCTAAAATTCTGAGAAAATTTTAAAATTTTTATTTATATCTGATTACAAATGTTATTATTTTCTGAGGTGCATGTTTCTCATTCTGACTTTCAAAGACTGAATAACAACTTGGTAACTGGCACAGCAGCCACAAGAAAGATTAATTTAACCTCCATCAAAACAAATTTTAAGGTAAGAGAAAGTGCAATGGTTTCTACTATCTTGTTGTACTGACTACTACTTAAAATAAATGAGTCAAAATAGAATTTTATACTACTCTAAAAGTTTGTTGTGCCCCTGATGTATGTTTGGGGTTGGGGGTATCTCTCAATATTCAGTATCATAAAATGAAGGAGTTCTAGGAGCTCACTGTCTCCCGGAGTCAGGGATGCCAGCTCAAGCAAAGCAGGAGTTTCAGAGTCAGAGAGCCAGACTGTGGTCTTGGCCCCCCTCCACTTATGAGGTACGTGACCTAGCAAAAATAACTTCCATAATTTTTAGTTGTATCATCTGAAAAATGTGGCTAATATGAGTCCTTTAAAATAAAGTTGTGAGAATTTCTGCTGGGAATATTATATTTCAGAATAAAAACTACCTTTTCTAGCTACCCTTGCAACTAGAAATGACCCTGTAACTAAGTTTAGGCCAAACACACACATATGAAAAGATTATGTGCAACTCTAGAAGCTGTCCCTAGAGAAAGAAGACATACTCTTCTCCATCCATTTTTCTTCTAACTGCTGGCTGGAATGTGGATGTGACAGCTTGTAAGTGGAGTCAGCTATCCTAGACCAGGTATAAAACTTGGAAATGGAGGTCACACTGCTGAGCAAAAACATAGAAGGCGCTCAGGTCTCTAACACTATACCATCCCTGGACCACCTATCTAAAATTTTAAGTGAGACAGAAATAACCTATGACTTAAGCCACTATTGTTGTATACTTCCTGCTACCTTAAAGTTAAGCCTCATCCTAATCAACACCAATGTAGTATAAGTACTGAAGTTGGTTCCCTACCTGTACACCTCCGTTACAATGTTCAGATGTGAGGATAAGTCCTGGTAAGTTACTAGGAAGGTCCAAACGTCTGAAATACCAAACGAGGTTCCAGAAAATGATTGGATGTTGATTGATGAAAGAGGACGTGTGAATCACCTGATCGCCTTCATTTTCTAGCAAAGATTCAAGTTCTTTACGAAGCACTAGAGGACTCAAGTAGGGCACAGAAACAGGGGGAGGATTGGGTCTTTTTCCTAAAGGATCCTTAAAAACATAGAAATACAAAAAGAAATGAATATGATCTATTTTATTATGTTTCAGAGTATGTCTCAATGAGATTATACTTCTTTATCCTTTCAAAGTCAATTATTTCAGGGCCATTACTACATGTAGTAGAACACCCTAAAGAAAACATAAAGATTAAGAAGTACTTAATCATAAATACCGTTAAGTTAAATGATTACAAATGAAAATTATTAATCAAAATAATAGACCCTATTTTAAACATGAGTTTTTCTCTATCACATTAACAGCAATGGCCTATGTAGGTTTGACTTTTTCCTTTTCAATTTTTTATAAGAAATACTTGCCTTTCTGATGTTTTATAATGGTGATACCAAAAAATATGTGACTTTATCTTCCGCTTGAAACTCTAAACAGATGATGCAATTTTTTGTGTTAATACTTTTTTTAATTTTTTTGCGGTACGCAGGTCTCTCACTGTTGTGGCCTCTCCCGTCACGGAGCACAGGCTCCGGACGCGCAGGCTCAGCGACCATGGCTCACGGGCCCAGCCGCTCTGCGGCATGTGGGATCCTCCCGGACCGGGGCACGAACGCACGTCCCCCGCATTGGCAGGCGAACTCTCAACCACTGCGCCACCAGGGAAGCCCAGTACTTTTTTAAAATAATGAATGAATGAATGAATTTATTTATTTATTTTGGCTGTGTTGGGTCTTCATTGCTGCACATGAGCTTTCTCTACTTGCAGCACGTGGGGGCTACTCTTCATTGTGGTGTGTGGGCTTCTCATTGTGGTGGCTTCTCTTGTTGTGGAGCACAGGCGCTAGGCACGCAGGCTTCAGTAGTTGTGGCATGCGGGCTCTAGAGCACAGGCTCAGTAGTTGTGGCGCATGGGCTTAGTTGCTCTGTGACATGTGGGATCTTCTGGGACCAGGGATTGAACCCATGTTCCCTGCATTGGCAGGCGGATTCTTAACCACGGCGCCACCAGGTAAGTCCCTGTGTTAATATTTCTTGACTCTTTTTAAAACTATATCTAACTTGTTTTTACATTTGATTGCAACAAAAACTAAAGAGCAACTTTATAAATCAAATGAAATAATGAATTAAAAAAACCCCAACCTAGACTTTGTAAGTTGTGCATATTATAGTCAGAATAAAATGTTTATGACCAGTATTATTAAGTACCCATAGTGCCCAGATTGAGGTCTCCAAATACTGTTTTCCTGTAAAAAGAACCAGGTTTCTTAAAGAAATGGCTGATTCTAGGTCTGGAGAAGGAAATAAATAACACAGTATGAAACATCTTGCAATATAAGAAAGCAAGGAAGCTTTAAAAAAAATTATAGAAAGGCTACCAGAGTTGTGTCAAAAGGATTAAGGCACCAACTTGTAGAGGCTTCTAGCTGACCAAAAAAGGGATAATATAAGCATCAATAAGGATAACAATAGCAATGGATATACACATAAATGTTTAAACCAATGAGTTCATAATAATACCCTATCGCCGCAGATAATGGATCACCTTGGAGAATGCTAGGAACCCAACTTGTTACTTTGAAAATTGATAAATAAAAGGAAAAAAGATCAAATATTTATTTTGCCTTTCCATCATAAATTGCATCTTTGGAAAGCCATACAAAAGCCATGGGGTTAGTTTCTCTTTACAGATATATTTCATATAATAAAGAAGATGACAGAATTAGACTATCATCATTTTATAGCTCCAAATGGACAACTTGATCTAGGCATTGAGGCGTTAATAGCTGCTAACATCACAAAGATAGTTCGTGTCTCCTATTGGAGGGACATACCACTACCCATGAAGCGCTCTTATAAAAATAAACAAATGGGGCTTCCCTGGCGGTGCAGTGGTTGAGAGTCTGCCTGCCGATGCAGGGGACACGAGTTCGTGCCCCGGTCCGGGAAGACCCCACATGCCGCAGAGCAGCTGGGCCCATGAGCCATGGCCGCTGAGCCTGCGCGTCCGGAGCCTGTGCTCCGCAACGGGAGAGGCCACAACAGTGAGAGGCCTGGCGTATCGCCAAAAAAAACCCCCAAAAAACAAAAAAACACACACACACACATACAAAATAAACAAATGAAAAAAAGAACAAAAAAACCCTGAATCTGATCAAGCTTCTAGCTGTAATTACCAATTTATAGGGTTGTAATCAACAAATAAATTGCAATAAATTACAAGGGAAAAAAAGAGTCTACAGATTTAAAAAGACTAATAAAACCAGATTAACCAATTATGAAGCATGGACCTTATTTGATCCTGATTCCTCAAACTACAAAACACACAACTTGACATTTCTGAGACCATTAGAAATTTGAACAAACCTGCTGTACAGCGCAGGGAGCTCCACTTCACTTTGCTGTACAGTAGAAACTAACACAACATCGTAAAGCAACTACACTTCAATTGAAAAAAAGAAATTTGAACAAAGATTGAATAACTTGGTATTATTTGTTATTTTTTGGGTCTGATAAGGACATTGTATTTTTAAGAGTCCTTATCTTTTAGAGATAAATACTGAAATATTTACAAATGGGGAATATATGATGTTTGAAATCTGCTTCAAATGGATCTACGGAAGAACTGAATGAGGGTATACATGAAAGAAAAATGGTCATAAGCTGAAAATTACTGAAGCTGGATGATGTGTCAAAGGGACTCATTATACTCTTGTTTATTTGTGTACATATTTGAAATTCTAAAGTTCTTAGTCTGCTTATGAAAAATTCTTATCACTTTTCATGTGATTAAAATAAACCTACTACAGAAGCATTACATGCTGTTTTAATAAATACTTACATGAACACACAGTATAATTATAATGCTGTTACATACCACAATTTCCTGCAGACTGTTTGGAAGACTAACTGTTGAAATGCCATGAAACGGTCTCTGGGAAAAGTCCATATTTTGCAAGGGGCCTCCAACACTGTGACTTCTAGTCAAAGATACATTCCGTTTTGATAAACTATTAGGCACAGATGAAATTTTCATAGTTTGGACATCTCCACTGGCTTTCATTATTTCATCACTTAAAAAAATGAAAAAGAAATGCTGTGGTTAGATTGTGTTAAACAATCTAAATCTGTAGAGCTAGACTATTTTCTACAGTGAATTCTGAATGTACTGAATATATCTGAGAAGACTCAGTACTGCCTTATAAGAATTAAATTTTCTTCAGGTATTTTTGTAAAACTGGTCAGAAAAACAGGATGAGGTGGATGATCTGATGAAGGGTAGGAAGAGGATATATGGTATATAACAGGTATTATGGTATTATTTTAAAAAGATTAAGTGCCCATTCAGTTGCCCTATTCAAAAATTATTTCATCTTTATTAAACAAAATCACTTATACACCACCTTACATGTATAATGCATGTAAGTAAGTAAGTAATGTAGATTCATTGCCAAGTATTTAATATCTACCAGGCCATGATCCACCTAAGGACAGAGGTCAGATTTTATTTACTTTTAAATTTTTAGTGTTTAGCATAATGCTTAGCATACAGTAGGCTCTCAAAAAATGTTTGACTCAATATTTAAGAGTAAAAGGTATACTTCACTGTAAAGAGAGTATGTGTCTGGAAACTGACAATGACTACACTGAAGAGGAAAATACTTTTTACTGTTGAAAAGTTCATTTTTGTAAAAGACCACTGTAAAACATTAAACACAGTATTAAAAATGATTTATCATCAGACCCATTCATTAGATATTTAAACAATATATGGTAGTAAACATTTAAGGTTAAATTCTTAAAATGCCAGAGCTTATGCCTATGTAAGCCAGGTTGTATTTAAAGATGGAATTTTTACTAGGGTACCTAATTTTTAATGAAGATTTCTCTGAACCCCATGGTACCTTGATTCAACTGCAGAGCTTGTTTCTTCAGTTATGGTCTGGTTATGTTTTGGGAAATCCATAAAGTTGATCAGGTCAGGTTCTGCTGAACTGGGTATGGGTTTGTGCTCCAAAGGTTCACTTGCCAGTGTAATGCTTCCACTTTGTAAACTGTCACCAGAGGTACTTGGTTTCAGGAAAAAGCTAAATATGAATCAGTCCAAAAAAACCACAAAAGTCTTTAAAAATCCCAGAATCCTCTAAATTTCATCATATTTAGAATCACTTTATGGTAAAATAGTCATTAATGAGTTATACAAATCCATAGAAATACTGCCTATTTCAAACACACACACACTCCTGCTCTCATTCTCTCTTCCTCTCTTGCCCCAAACTTTTCTAATGAAAAGGTCTAGAGCAGGTCATTATAGTTCAATATTAGATGCCTTCAGTTTTTGAGAGACTAAAGAAAGCTATGAAGGAAGATGGAAAGCAAAATATTTCCTTAATTTTCTTAGTTAAAAAAAAGGAACAGCATTTTAATATGTATTAACCTATGATTGTTTATAATACCCTTTCCCCCCTTATGAATCTCCATTTTTGTCTCTAGTCATTTCCTCTCCACTCTATTCATTCAGAATTTTATTTTCATCTTCTCTCTCTCTTTCTCCTGGGTGGAGATGGGGTGAGGGCTTCACCTTACAAGGGACATTAAGAGAGCTTTCTAAAGTGATAGTAATGTTCTGTATCTTGGTAAGTGTTTGTTTTGCACAAATCAAATTTACCTTAAATGAAAAAAACTGTGAATAAATACTGAACTCTAGTTACTTATATGAATGCTCAAGTCTTTGTGGGAAAAGTGATTTAACGTCTTCATCATCATCTTCTTTTTTTTTTTTTTGGCCGCACCGCAGGGCATGTGGGATTTTAGTTTCCCGACCAGGGATCGAACCCATACCCCCTGCAGTGGAAGCGCGGCGCTCTAATCACTGGACAGCCAGGGAATTCCCCATCTACATCTTATTTTAAATGAATAAAAATGTAAGATGGATTGGTGGATGGATGGAGGGATACATAAAGCAAGTAAAGTAAAACATTAATTGTAGAAAGTAGGGGTATATATTTGGGTATTACTGTAAAAAAGAAGATCTTTAAACTTGGCTGTCAGTTGGAAATCTTCCATAATGACATCCTAGGGAGGAAAATCAATAATGCTCCTTTATATTCAATTAGAATATAAAATAAGGTACTTACCACAAAAGCTTAAGAAACACAGTTAACAAAAAAAGTACAAAACTTATGGAGAGGGCTTCCCTGGTGGCACAGTGGTTAAGAATCCGCCTGTCAATGCAGGGGACATGGATTTGAGCCCTGGTCTGGGAAGATCCCATGCCGTGGAGCAACTAAGCCCATGCGCCACAACTACTGAGCCTGCACTCTAGAGCCCGTGTGCCACAACTACTGAAGCCCGCGCGCCTAGAGCCCCTGCTCCACAACAAGAGAAGCCACCGCAATGAGAAGCCCGCACACCGCAACGAAGAGTAGCCCCCACTCACCACAACTAGAGAAAGCCCCCATGCAGCAACGATGACCCAATGCAGCCAAAAATAAATAAAATGAATAAAATTTTTAAAAAATTTACAAAAAAATACATATGGAGAATAATTTAAAACTCTATTAAAAGAATATCTAAAAAATGGAGATATATACCATGCTCATAGATAGCAGAATAATACTGAAGATGTCCATTTCCCCCAAACAAGTCTATAAATCTAATTCAATCCCATGAAAACTTCAGCTGGATTTTTTTTTTAAGGAACTCAAAGTTACTCTAAAATTTTATATGCAAAAATAAGTAACTGTAAGAAAAAAATTTCCATAAGGGGGAACTTACCCTACCGCCCAGACATCATAAATACAGAGTAATAAAAATAATACAGTACCGACAGAAAGAACAGAGAACCAGAATGAGGTATACATAGGAACTTGATATATGATAAAGGTGACGCTGTATATCAATGAAGGAAGGATGTAAAACTGGCTCATTATATGGAGAAAAATAAAGCTGGATCTCTACAATAATACACAAAGGTGGACTTTAGATGGATTTAAAACCTAAATATCACAAGTAAAATATAAAGCTAACAGAAGAACGTTCAGGAAAAAATTTTCATGTACTACAGATGGGAAATAACTTTTAAAACGAGACTCCCAATGTACAAATCATAAGGTGGAAAATTAATGGATAACATCAGAATTAATAATTTCTCTTCGGAGAATTAATATCAAGAATATTCAAGATGGGAATTCCCTGCTGGCCCAGTGGTTAGGACTCTTGCACTCGCACTGCCGAGGGCCCAATCCCTATTTGGGGAACTAAGATCCCACAAGCTGTGCTGCATGGCCAAAAAGAAAATAAAATAAGAAAGAGAAGAATGAACAAAGCCCAAAGTCAGTAGAAGGAAAGAAATAATAAAGATCAGAGTGGGAATAAATGAAATAGAGACTAAAAAGACAAAAGAAAAGATCAGTGAAAGTAAGAGCTGGTTCTTTGAAAAGATAAACAAAACTGACAAATCTTTAGCTAGACTCACTAAAAAAAAGAGAGAAGGCTCTGATAAATAAAATAAGCAACAAAAGAAAAAAAATAACAATGGGTGCCACAGGAATACAAAGGATTATAAGAATATGAGAACAGCTATGTGCCAACAAATTGGACAACCTAGAAGAAATGGACAAATTCTTGGAATCATACAACTTTCCAAGGCTGAATCATGAAGAGAAAATCCAAATTGATCGATCACTAGTACAGAGACTGAAGCAGTAATCGAAAAGCTTCTAAAAAACAAGACCAGGACCAGACAGCTTCACAGGTAAATTCTACCAAATATTTACAGATTTAATACCTGTCCTTTTCAAACTATACCAAAAAATACAAGAGGAGGGAACACTTCCTAACTCATTTTATGAGACCAACATCACCCAGATACCAATACCAGATAAAGACCACACAAAGTAAGAAACTACAGGCCAATATCTCTGACGTACATAGATGCAAAAATCCTCAACAAAATACTAACAAACCAAATCCAACAATACATTAAAAGGATCATATACCATGATCAAGTGGGATTTGTCCCTGGGATGCAAGGATGGTTCAACATCTGCAAATCAAGCAATATGATACATACGTTAACAAAATGAGGGATAAAAATGATATGATCATCTCAGTAGGTGCAGAAAAAGCAAATGACAAGATTCAACACCCATTTATGATAAAAACTCTCCACAAGTGGGTACAGAAGGAACATACCTCAACATAATAAAGGTCATATATGACAAGCCCACAGCTAACATCATACTCAAAGGTGAAGCTGAAACATAGTATATAAGTCCCAGCCACAGAAATTAGCCAAAAGAAATAAAAGGCAACCAAATTGGAGAGGAAGAAGTAAAACTCACTGTTTGCTGATGACATGATTTTATATAGAGAAAAGCCTAAAGAATCTACCAAAAAACTATTAGGAGTAATAAATGAATACAGTGAAGTTGCACAGTACAAAACCAACAAAAACCTGTTGCATTCTATATAATAGCAATGAGCTAGGAGAAAGGGGAATTAAGAAAACAATCCCATTTACAATCACCACAAAAAGAATAAAATAAATGGAGTAAATTTAAGGAGTTGAAAGACCTCTATACTGAAAACTATAAGACATTGTTGAAAGACACTGTAGACACAAATAAATGGAAAGATATTCTGTGCTCATGGATTGGAGGAATTAACATTGTTATAATGTTTATATTTTTTAATTACCTAATTTTTAAAATATTACATAAAGCAATCTACAGATTCAGGGCAATCCCTATCAAAATCCCAAGAACATTTTTCACATAAATGGAACAAAAAATTATATTTATTTGGAACCAAAAAAGACCTGGAAGAGCCAAAGCAATCTTGAGAAAAAAGAACAACGCTAGAGATATCACACGCTCTGACTTCAAACTATATTACAAAGCCATAGTAATCAAAACAACCTAGTTTGGCAGAAAAACAGATATAAAAATCAATGTAACAGGGACTTCCCTGGTGGCGCAGTGGTTAAGAATCTGCCTGCCAATGCAGGGGACAAGGGTTTGAGCTCTGGTCTGGGAAGATCCCACATGACACAGAGCAACTAAGCCTGTGCACCACAACTACTGAGCCTGTGCTCTAGAGCCCGCAAGCCACAACTGCCATAACTACAGAGCTCCAGTGCTGCAACCACGGAAGCCTGCGTGGTTAGAACCTGTGCTCCACAACAAAAGAAGCCACTGCATCAAAGAGTAGCCCCCGCTCGCAGCAATCAGAGAAAGCCTGCATGCAGCAATGAAGACCAAACGCAGCCAAAAAAAAAAATCAATGGAACAGAACTGATAGCCCAGAAGTGAACCCCGGCATACACGGACAGTTAATTTACAACAAAGGAGCAAAGAACATTCAGTGGAGAAAGAATAGTGTCTTTAATAAATGGTGTTGGGAAAACTGGACAGCCACATGCAAAAATATGAAACTCTACCACTATCTCACATCACACACAAAAATCAACTCAAAATGGATTAAAGACTTGAAGACCACAAAACTCCTAAAAGAAAACATAAACAGTATAATCTTTAACATGAGTCTTAGCAATGTCTTTTTAAATAAGTCTCCTCAGGCAAAGGCAATAAAGCAAAAATAAACAAATGGGACTGCATCAAACTAAAAAGCTTCTGCACAGCAAAAGAAACCATCAGCAAAACAAACCAACAACCTACTGAATGGGCGAAAATATTTGCAAATGATATATCTGATAAGGAGGTAATACTGAAATTATATAAAGAACCCATACAATATCAAAAAAAACAAATAACCCAATTAAAAAATGGGCAGAGGAGCTGAACAGACATTTTTCCAAAGAAGACATCCAGATGGCCAACAGGCACATGAAAGATGCTGAACAAAAAACCACATTAACATCATCATCAAGAAATGCAAATCAAAACTAAAGTATGATATCACTTCATTAGTTAGAATGGGTGTTATCAAAAAGTCAAGAAATAACAAGTGTTGGTGAGGACCCTCATACACTGCTGGTGGGAAATGTAAACTGGTGCAGCCGCTATGGAAAACAGTATGGAGATTCCTTGAAAAAATTAGGAATGAAACTACCACATGGTCCAGCCCAGTTCTGGGTATTTATCCTAAAAGTAGGAAAACATTAATTCAAAAAGGTACATGCACCCCTATGTTCAATGCAGCATTATCTACAACAGCCAAGACATGGAAACAACCTAGATGCCCATCAACAGATGAATGGATAAAAAAAGCTGTGGTATATATACACAATGGAATACTACTTAGCCATAAAAAAGATGAAAATTTGCCATTTGCAACAACATGGATGGACCTTGAGGGTATCACGCTAAGTGAAATACTTCAGATGAAGAAAGACAAATACCATGATTTCATTCGTAGCTGGAATATAAAAAACAAAAACCCAAAATAAATGAACAAACCGAACCAAAGAAAAACAAACATGAGAACAGAGTAGTGCTTATCAGAGGGTGAAGGAGGGGTAGGGAGGATGGAATGGGTAAAGAGCATCAACTATATGGTGACAGATGGAAACTAAATTATTGGTGTTGAGCACACTGTAGTGTATATAGAAGTAGAAATAAAATGTATACATGAAACTTATAAAACATTATAAACCAATGTTACCTCATTAAAAAAATAAATCTTTAAAAAATTGACGATGGATATAAACAAGCAATTCATAGAAAATGCTGGAATAACTAATAAGCATATGAAGAGATATCCAAACTCACTAATATTCAGAGACATTCAAACAAAAATGAGATACTACTTTATATCATTAGAGCACAAAATCAGAAAAGTGATCATACCAAATGCTGGTAAGGATGTACAGAAATGAGAGTTTTTGGGCACTACAAGTAGGAGTGTAGCCATCTGGGAAGCAATCTTCCAGTGTTTATTGAAATCATGTATGGAAAAAACCCAATGATCTCACTCCCAAGACTATTATTCTGAAAGAAATTACTTCATAAGTCCAGAAGGGGACATATATTTTGCAGTGTACTGCAACAGTACAGTGATGTTTACAGTAACAGAGAACTGGAAGCAACTGAAATATCCAACACTACGACAGTGGATAAGTAAAATGAGGTATTAACTTCCTATAGGAGAAAAGGAATAAATTAGATGTACATATAGCAACTCAAATTTTAAACTGAGTAATAAAAAGAAATAGAGATTTTCAGCATCATTCTAATTATGTACGTTAAAAATACATAATCATGCAAAACATTATAAGGTTATATATTCAAGGATTTATCACACACAGCAGAGTCAATGTTTATGTTGGGTAAAATAATAAGAGTGGGAATGGTGAGGGGAGGAAGATAATAAAAGAGGGCCCTTGCACAAACCAATGATGATAGTGCATCAGGAATTAGAGTATACTTTCACTCAGCTCCACACTGAAGCTAACAGGAAAAACAGAGAGGAGACACCTCTGTGATTGGAAATTTTTTACAAGTAGATAAAGGTAGTTTGTTCCATAAAGCAAATAGAATATTAAGTATAAGTACTTTAAGTCAGCATACAGTTACCAAACTCTCAATTACTTAATGACTGATTATAGATCAGCCTCTCCTTTCCAATGCCTAGAATTCGGCCATTTCACAGTACAGAGCACCAACATAAAGGGGCAACAAGTTAAGAGAAGAGTTAAAGCCCCTTCCACCGTTTTTTGGGGGGTGGGGCGGGGGCGGCTCCAGAACACATAATCAAGGTCATCGAGGCAGAAATATTAAAATAATGACTAACGTTAGAGTTCGGAATTATCTATAATAATCATATAATCTATGTAATAATTATATAATTTATAAAGTTTAGCTCCGAGAATTAACTACTACTAATAATCATTTGTTAAATAAAATGGAAAAGCAGTCTCCTACATTATTAGTATTTTCTACTCAAATACTGAAGTGCAGGACGGCGAGGAAAGGAACACGTGGAGCATACCATGACTATTTCACTGTTCCCCCAGGAGTCATGACTCTTGGGGGACGCTTACCTCTTTAAGGGAGCTTTTACAATACTAACCTTGCAGAGCCTCTCAAGTCTTTAAATTCTATGTTGAGAAGAGGCAAGAAGTTGCTTTTACAGAAGGGACAGGTTGTATTCAAGTTTGAATCATCTGCCGTCCATCCAGCCATAACTTCTTCATCATAAACTAAAGCTCCACAAGCTCTGCACTGTGAACAACTTGACATCAAAACCTAAGAGCAGAAAAGTACACATACTGAGAACCTCCACAGTGAAAATCAGTCTTAATAAGGTACAGAATTCTGTACCATTAAATGCCATTCTGAAATAAAAATATGTTTACAGCCACTTTATCATGGACAGAATATAGAACTTTTACCTCCATTGCACAATTCTGATAGATGCTGGACATGCTGGTGTTTTGAGAAGAACCATGATCTGACTTTTCAAAGTCCTGCCCTTTTATGCCTCTTGGAAATGGAAGTTCACCTAGAGAGAAGTAAACATCATAACACATTATGTATGAAAATGTCCTTATTCTTTGGAAATGCATACTTAGGGGGAAATATCATGAAGTCTGCAATTTATCTCCAAACGGTTTAGTATCAAAATGTACTTATGTACATACACAGAGGAAAGGTTAACAACAGTTAACTAAATCTAGGTAGAGAACATATGATTGTTCACTATATGATTCTTTAAACTTTTTAGGATATTTGAAATTTTTCATAATAGAAAGTTGGAGAAAATAAATAAAATTACAATTTTAAAAAATAACACAGAACTAGGAAATTTCGGTGATATAGCACAGAAATTCTCCAAGTCTAGTAAATATCTGATTCACCTGGAGAGCTGGTGAAAAATATACATTCTTAAGGTCCCATCCCACAGATTAAGTCCCAAAAGTTTTAACCTAGGGCTTGGATATTTGTATATACTTTTAAACAAATTCCCCAAGTGATTCTGAGACACCCTAAAGTTTGAGAACTAATGATAGAATCCATAAATGTACATAACTAAAAATAAACTCAGTGGGTGACTATAGTACTTGTAGATCATATAAAATAACAGTGATAATATGGTGTGACTATATCAGATCCTCTCAACAAATGGGGCTTACTGGGTGTGTGGTGCAGGGAGGAAGAAGTATGGGCATAAATTAAAAATTAATTTTCTATAAATTAGAAGAAAGGACGATCCTTCCCCTTACCTGGTGAGTAATGCAGTTTACCTACATCTCCACTGCTGCTGCTACTGCCAAGGCTTGTGTTGCTCTGGGTAAGTTCACTAGGGACCAGCCCTGAGATACTCGTGTTAGGTGATATATTCTCTCCTAAAATATGGTCTTCAAGGCCAGCTGGGAAGCTGTAATCTCTCTTTGTTTCCTCCTTTAATTGAAAAGAATAAAATCCCACATACATAAGTAATACCTTCCCCAATGAGAATACATTCACTCTACCCTTTTCAGAATTAAACTCATCTATAATTCTTAAATAAATCATCATCATCATATGTTTCAAAACCATGAACTCTTTCTGTTATTTGGAATTTCTCTTCCATCCTCTAATACATTCAAGCAATGACCTATACTTTAAGATTATGCTGTGCTCCTAGTGTATATTAGGAGTGTGGGGTTTATTCCAATATTCAAAATAATAAAATGAAGGAACTCTAGACGCTCACTATGCCCAGTGTAATCAGGGACCCCAGTCTGAGTAGAGTAGGGGCTTCCAAGAGTCAGCCAGATTGTGTTCTTGCCCCCCTTCACATATTAGTATGTGACCTTGCAGAAATTACTTAACTTCCATAACTTTTAATTATATTATCTGAAAAATGTGGATAATATAAGTACATTAAAATAAGGTTGTGGTGAGAATTTTAGCTGGCAATATGATTATTCTGAATAAAAACCATCATTATTAGAGGAATAAAACATGAACAAAGTTCTGAACACTAGTTCTTAACCACTATAAGTGATTGTTGATGCTTTAGATAGAAAACATTTCAATAAGCAGTTTCCTTTCTAATTTTTGCTTTAAAGGAGAAAGACTTGTGTCTTCCTTGTTATAAAACCATATTAAATGATTTTTAAAAATTAAATAGATATGCAAAACAGGAAATAAAACACTTATAATATCAACATCCACAGAGTGCAGTAAAAATCTTGATGTATATCCTTCTAGTCAAAAATATGCATACATAATACATTTTTACAAAACAGGATATTTTTAACCCATTCTTCTCATGTAGTTTATCATTACATCTTCTACATTATTTAAATCCCTGCAACCTAATCTGATTTACTGATGTATTATTAAGAATTTAGTAAATCCTCTACTGCTTAAACATTCAGAATCCTGTAAATTTTATATGAGTTACACTGCTGAATTCACTTGAGCTATTTTTACACATATCCCTAAATATTTTCTTAAATTCTGGATAAAAGTTATGAATATTTTACAGACTTTTTATTCATTCCTTCACTTGAAAATATTTAATAGGTATATCCTATTTGCCTTTGCAGTCAATGGTACCAGGGCGATAGTGATGAAAAGAAAAGAAAGATTAAGATCTGCAACCACCTGGAATTTACAGTCATATATTCCAAGTCCAAATTACTCTGTAGAAAGCTTTTTATTTAACACTGCTAGATAAAATTTCAAAAGTGAAATGGCTCACACTGTTTTTTTTTTTTTTTTTTTTAAATATAATGCCAGGGGCTTCCCTGGTGGCGTAGTGGTTGAGAATCTGCCTGCCAATGCAGGGGACATGGGTTTGAGCCCTGGTCTGGGAATATCCCACGTGCTGTGGGGAAACTGGGCCCGTGAGCCACAGCTACTGAGCCTGCGCATCTGGAGCCTGTGCTCCGCAACAAGAGAGGCTGCGACAGTGAGAGGTCCATGCACCGCGATGAAGAACGGCCCCCGCTTGCCGCAACTAGCGAAAGCCCTCGCACAGAAATGAAGACCCAACACAGCCAAAAAATAAATAAATTTATAAAAAAAATAATAAATAAATAAATAAATAAATAAAATAAATATAATGCCAGGTTAAGATGCTTTTGAAGTTAGCTTATTTTGTCTTTCCTTAACTGACCTTCTAAGTTCTTTAAATACAAAATTTGCCCACTCCTATTTTCACAAAAAGATATGATGATTAATTCTCTTTATGATGATTTTTAAAAGGATTAACAGTTTTTCAAAGGCTATAACAAAAGACAAGAAGGGCATTATATAATGATAAAGGGATCAATACAAAAAGAGGATCTTAAAGTCATTAACATATATGCACCCAATTCAGGAGCACCTAAATAAATAAAGCAAAGACAAAAAGGGAGAAATTGACACTAATACAATAACAGTAGGAGACTTTAACACCCCACTGACATCAATGGACAGATCATCCAGACAGAAAATCAATAAGGCAACAGAGGTCCTAAAGGACACAATAGACGAGTTGGAGTTAACTGATCTCTAAAGGACATTACATCCAAAACCAGCAGAATACACATTCTATTCTGTAGAATGCACATTTTTCAAGTGCACATGGAACGTTCACCAGGAAAGACCACACACTAAGTCACAAACAAGCCTCAAAAAATCTAAGAGGATAGAAATTACACCACACACCTTTTCTGACCACAACAGTATGAAACTAGAAATCAACTAGAGAAAGAAAAATGGAAAAAGAACAAACACATGGAGACTAAACAACATTGTACTAAAAAACCAATGGGCCAATGCTAAAATCAAAGAAATCAGAAAACACCTTGGGACAAATGAAAAGTAAAACATAACTTTATAAAACCTATGGGATCCTGCAAAAGCAGTTCTAAGAGGGAAATTCACAGTAAGACAGGCCTTCTTTCAAGAAACAAGGAAAATCTCCAACAACTTAGCCTACCACCTAAAAGAATTAGAAAAAGAAGAACAAAGCCCAAAGTCAGCAGAAGGAAGGAAATAATAAAGATCAGAGAGGAAATAAAATAGAGATAAAAAAAATAACAGAAAAGATCAATGAAACTAAGAGCCAGTATTTTGAAAAGATAAACAAAATGGACAAACCTCTAGCCAGGCTCACCAAGAAGAGAGAGGGCCCAAATAAACAAAATAAGAAATGAAAAGAGTAGAGTAGAAATAACAAATACCATAGAAGTACAAAAAATCCTAAGAGAATACTAAGAACATTTATATCCCAACACACTGGGCAACGTAGAAGAAACAGACAAATTTCTAGAAACATAGAGCCTGCCAAGACCGAGTCAAGAAGAAATAGACAATTTGAAGAGACCAATTACTAGAAGTGAAATAGAATTGCCAATAACAAAACTACCTGCAAACAAAAGTCTAGGACCAGACAGCTTCACTGGGGAATTCTACCAAACATGTAAAGAAGAGCTAAAACCTATCCTTCTATTTCAAATTATTAAAGAGGATGAAACACTCCCAAACTCATTCTATGAGGCCACTATTACCCTGACACCAAAACCACAAAAAGTGAAAATTACAGACCAATATTCTTGATGAATATAGATGCAAAAATCCTCATCAAAATATTAGCAAATCAAATCAAACAACATATAAAAAGGATCATACACCATGATCAAGCTGGACTTATTCTGGGGACACAAGGATTGTTCAACATATGCAAATCCATTAATGTGGCACACGGCACTAACAAAAAGAAAGACAAAAACCACATGATCATTTCAATAGATGCTGAAAAAGTATCTGACAAAATTCAACATCCATTCATCATAAGAACTCTCATCAAAGTGGGTACAGAAGGAACATATCTCAACATAATAAAGGCCATTTATGACAAACCCACAGCCAACATAATACTCAATGGTGAAAAGATGAAACCTTTCCTGTTAAATTAAGGAACAAGACAAGGATGCCTACTCTCACCCCTTCTATTTAACATAGTATTGGAAGTACTAGGCAAAGTTATCAAACAAGGGAAAAAAGGGTATCCAAATTGGGAGGGACTGCAGATGACATGACACTCTATACAGAGAACCCTAAAGTCCCCACCCAAAAACTTTTAGAATAAATGAATTCAGCAAGGTTGAAGGATACAAGATTAATATACAGCAATCTGCTGCATTTCTATACACTAATAATGAAATATCAGAAAGTTAAAAAAAATCCCATTTAAAACTGCATCAAAAGAAGAAAAAAACCTAGGAATAAACTTAATCAAGGAGGTTAAAGACTTACACACTGAAAACTATAAAACATTGATAAAGGAAAGTGAAAATGATTTAAAAAAAATGGAAAGATATTCCCATGCTCTTGGATTGGAAGAATCAGTATTATTAAAATGGCCACACAGTGGCTTCCCTGGCGGCGCAGTGGTTGAGAGTCCGCGGACATGGGTTCGTTCCCCAGTCTGGGAAGATCCCACATGCCGCGGAGCGGCTGGGACCGTGAGCCATGGCCACTGGGCCTGTGCGTCCGGAGCCTGTGCTCCGCAGCGGGAGAGGCCACAGCAGTGAGAGGTCCGCATACCACAAAAAAAATAAATAAATAAAAAGTGGGCTTCCCTGGTGGCGCAGTGGTTGACAGTCCACCTGCTGATGCAGGGGACGTGGGTTTGTGCCCCGGTCCGGGAGGATCCCACATGCCACGGAGCGGCTGGGCCCGTGAGCCATGGCCGCTGAGCCTGCGCGTCCGGAGCCTGTGCTCCGCAATGGGAGAGGCCCACGTACCGGGAAAAAAAAAAAAAGGCCACACTAGCCAAAGAAATCTACAGATTGCATCCCCTATTGTTTTTCACAGAAACAGAATAATCCTAAAATGTATATGGAACCAGAAAAGGCCCCAAATTACCAGAGCAATCCTGAGAAAAAAAGAACAAAGCAGGAGGTATAAATGTCCCAGACCTCAGACTATACTGCAAAGCTACAGTAATCAAAACAGTGTGGTACTGGCACAAAAAAACAGATACATAGATCTATAGAACAGAACAGAGAGCCCAGAAATAAACCCACACACCTACAATCAATTAATCTATGACAAAGGAGGCAAGAATATACAATGGGGAAAAGACAGTTTTTGCAACAAGTGGTGCTAGGAAAACTGGACGGCTACAGATAAAACAATGGGATTAGAAAATTCCCTCATACCATATACAAAAATAAACTCAAAATGGATTAAAGACCTAAATATACAACCCTGAAACCATAAAACTCCTAGAAGAGAACATAGGCAAGACACTCTTTGACATAAATCATAGCAGTATTTTTTGGATCTGTCCCCTAAGGCAAAATAAATAAAAGCAAAAATTAACAAATGGGACCTAATTAAATTTAAAAGCTTTTGCACAGCAAAGGAAGCCATCAACAAATCAAAAAGACAACCTACGGAATCAGAGAAAATATCTGCAAATGATGCAACTTACCCAAAATATACAAACAGCTGATACAGCTTAATATCAAAAAAAAAACAAGCAATCCAATCAAAACAAGGGCAGAAGACTTGAACAGATATTTTCCCAAAGAAGACATACAGATGGCTAACAGGCACACGAAAAGATGCTCATCAAGAATTGCAAATCAAAACCCCAAAGAGGTATCACCTCACACCTGTCAAAATGTCTATATCAAAATGTCTACAAATAACAAATGTTGGAGAGGATCTGGAGAAAAGGGAGTCCTCATACATTTTTTATGGAAATATAAATTGGTGCAGCCACTATGGAAGACGGTATGGAGGTTCCTTAAAAAACTAAAAATAGAACTACCATAAGATACAGCAATTGCACTCCTGAGTATATATCCAGAAAAAAAGGAAACACTAATTCAAAAAGAGACATGTACCACAATGTTCATAGCAGCACTATGTACAATAGCCAAGACATGGAAGCAACCCAAGTGCCCATCAACAGACGACTGGATCATGAAGATGTGATACACACACACACACACACACACACACACACACACACTGGAATATTACTCAGCCATTAAAAAGAATGAAATATTGCCATCTGTAGCAACATGGAGAGAGTTGGAGAATATTAATGCTTAGTGAAGTAAGTCAGACAGAGAAAGATAAATACTGTATGATATCATTCATATGTGGAATCTAAAAAGTCATACAAATGAATGTATATACAAAACAGAGACAGACTCAAAGAAATAGAAAACAAACTTATGGTTACCAAAGAGGAAGGGGAGAGGGACAAATTAGGGGTACGGGTTTAACAGATACAAACTACTATACATAAAATAGATAAGCAACAGGAATTTACTTTCTAGCACAGGGAATTATACCCAATATCTCGGAGTAACCTATAATGGAATATAATGCGGACAAACTGAATCACTATGCTCTACACCTGAAACTAATACAGTATTGTAGATCGACTGAACTTCAATAAAAAGTTAGCAGTTTGGGGGCCTTCCCTGGTGGTCCAGTGGGTAAGACTCTGTGCTCCCAATGCAGGGGGCCCAGGTTCGATCCCTGGTTGGGGAACTAGATTCCATATGCATGCCGCAACTAAGAGTCTCCATGCCGCAACTAAAGATCCCACATGCCGCAACTAAACGTGCCGCAACGAAGATCCCACGTGCCGCAACTAAGACCCCATGCAGCCAAAATAAACAGTTAGCAGTTTTTGTTGTGCAGTATGAAATCTACTGATTAAGTTGTGGAGTGACTTCACATATCTTAAAGAGATAACACAGGTGAAAGCTATTTAAAAAGTGAAGTGCTATGCAAATATAACATTATTAAATCAGACATTAATCGTTAGTTCTTTCAAATCAATAGACTTAATGTGTTAGTTTAGACTGGGCTGTGGAATTATAAAGTAGTCCTGATATTCTATTTCTTCATTATTAATTTCCTTACATGTATGCTGAAGTCATTTCAAGAAAGAAGTAGGATATGCATGTTTTAAAATATAAAAAAGTTACCAGAAATATCTAAATAATAATATATATATTAAAAAATACTCCAAACATTCCAACATCAGATAGATGACACACATAAAACACTCTTACCTCATCATCTGAATAGCTGTAGGCAGATGATACAGCTACCCACATCTTACTGGCTACTGTAGCTGCTTGTTTCATACCAGATTTTAGCACATCCATCTTGGGCCCTGAGAGTATATTGTCCAGCTTTAGCCCTGACAAAGAATTTACCACAGAACCCAATGAGCCATGTGGTGAAGAACGGACCAGGGCTGATAAAGAAGCTGAACGTTCTTTATGACCTCGAGAGGGAGTTTGTTGCCTGAAACGCCCAGTAAAAGTTTTAGATCTGGACACTGCAGGGGAGCTCTTTTCACTTTCAGGACTTTCCTGTGCTGCAGGACCATGATCTAAAGGTAGGCTTGATCTCCTCTCTAAAGGGTGAATAAATGCACTGCTAGTGCCAGGCTCTCTGTTTCCCTCTCCATGTAATTCCATACTAGAGGACTTGCTACCCAAGGGACTCTTTAGGTTCATATAGCTTTCAATTTCATCAGCCAGATTACGTGCAATAACTGGAGAAAACAACTTATCTTCTGAATCAGGAGTTTTTTCTCCTATACATTCAGTGGCTAAAAGTGACAAAGGATCTAGTCCAGTTTCAACATCTTCCCTCTCAATAGCTTTAGCAACACCAGATAAACTACTTCTCTTATTTACTAGATCTTTGGATCCTGCTTTCAAGTCTCTGGACTGATTACTGTCATTTTGTAGGCTGTCACATGTATCCTTTGTCACAGTAGTTTTAGCTACATTTTCATCAACCACAGGTTCTATGAACTCTTGGCTTTCCTCAAGCATCTCTAACACCGATGAAGATCTGTGCTCAGAATCCCAAGTGCTTTCAGACACACAAGTCCTAGTGTCAGCTGGATGACAGCTAATACTCTCAAAGCTATGGGTTCTTGCAATATGAAGTGGAGAAGTCTTAGGACTCGTCAGTGCTGCTGTGAGAATCCTGGCATCTGCTCCCATCATGATAGCCACTTCGCTTGAATTCAAATCCAAAGTGCTCTTCTTAAGCAACATTCCTGCTCGACTTTCAGAACTAAAACTACAGCTTCTCTCCGGAAAATGCTTTTGCCTTTTTTCTCCTCTATCACCATTCTTCTTGAGATTAGTAACTTCGCCAAAGACTGCATCTTCAACTGGATCTTGAGTAGAAAACAGTACATTTGATGTACTACCTAAAAAGAGAAAGTGCAATATTAAAAATAAATCTCTACTTTCTAATGTAACTTTTATAAAAATGTTTTCTTCTAATTTTTGAAAGTGACACATACTCACGGTAAAAGATTCTAAGATGGTATACAGAAAAAGTCCAAAAATTACTCCATTCAACCCTGCCTCTCAGAGATAACATTTTAATGTATAATCTGCCTTTCATCCTCTATGCATATACACACACATTTTAAAAAAAGATCGTGCAATATATACTGTATATACCTGTATTGTTCACTAAGAGATATCACATCTATCAATAAATATACATCTATAAACATGTTTTATATTTTAAGAGTTTTATATTCAGTTTAAGAAATATATTCCACATTAAATAGCAGACCTAAAAAGAAATAATCTCTTCTGTCTTGGGTTTCATATATCTAATTCAACAAGTATCTGCCAGGAATCTACCCTGCAGAAAGCAAGTTCATAATCATAGAGAAATTATATATTTGCTATAGCCAAAGCCTTACTTCTCCAAAGTAAAAGGATCTAGAATGGAGCGCTTAGAATCGGCAAATTCCAAGAAGCCTGATAAAATCTGAATAGCCAAAATTTTTTCCAGTATGTTTATTCTTTCAACAAATGTTTGAATTCCTACTAGCACCCACTTATGTGAGGTGCTAAGAATACAATGGAGAATAAAACGGACATAATCCCAGCCCTCACAGAGGTCAATCTTGTTTGAGCAAGTGGAACAAAATTATGCCAGTGTCTGTAGGAACCTCCCCCAGCTTTGGGGGGTGCAGGCAGTCGTTAACTCTTTGCTACCATGCAATTTTTTCCACGCCAAGACCAAAAGCTATTTCTAGTTGCATCATTAGCAGAACTTAAGTCTACCTATTCATATTTAGGATTCTCATTTTTTTGTTTGTTTGTTTTTTGTTTGTTTGTTTTGTTTTTGCGGTACCCGGGCCTCTCACCGCCGGGGGCCCTCCCGTTGCGGAGCACAGGCTCCGGACGCGCAGGCTCAGCGGCCGTGGCTCATGGGCCCAGCCGCTCCGCGGCACGTGGGATCTTCCCGGACCGGGGCACGAACCTGTGTCCCCTGCATTGGCAGGCGGACTCTCAACCACTGCGCCACCAGGGAAGCCCTCTCATTTGTTTTTTAAAAAGTATAATTACCGGGGAGTTTGCGGGGGAAAGTTGTCATTATGATAAGATCTTTTTTTTTAATCTTCCAAATTGATTTCAAGGTTCTTTTTAATATTCCAATTGGTATCTACAAATAATCATAATCATTCCAATTAAACAGAATAATAAGCATTTAGAGATATTTTTAAAGCATTTAAGGGAATTAAATTAGCCTATTTTATAACTCCGAAGTTTGTACCTGCTTTGAAAACTTTTAACAATATTTGAGAAAAGATCTTTGCAAATTTACTGGTTCTCATATCATTTCTAGGAAATTTAGTGTCACATTTTGTTCAATTTTAAAATAAAATTGACTATATGATATATTGGCAAAAGCCTCATTACCACCTCCTCTTATTAACAGAATAAACCTTCCTACATCAAAATGTAACATGGAAATAAGATCAATAAAAAGAGAAGAAAATGCACCAGTCCCCAGACCATGTCCATTTCAATATTCTGAGAAGATTCTAAACCTCTGATGAAGAAAACTGCCCTTTTTTTTTTTTTTAACCTGCTATCAATAGGTTGGGAAATGGGATAAAGAATATATATATCAATTATTTTTTTCACAACATCTGTAGCTCCACCTCATTAGCAAAACACTACCCCCTCACTCCCTGTAAAATAACCGAACTTGGTATCACAATTAAAAAAGAAAAAAAAAAATTTAGGAATAAGGAGTATTTCCACATTGACTTAAAAAGCTGAGCGAATTAATTTCTATAAAGTCATACAATAGATACACTTACAGATAGACTGCTGACTTTAGGGAAGTGAACTGTAGCTACTACTAACAAAAGGCAAATGACGCAGGCCAATTTCATTGTCTTTTAAAATCATACACTTAAGACGTATGCCTTAAGGGTACTTGGGAGGACTACACATAATTGAAGGCAGTAAACTCAAATTCATGGGAGTCACACACAACAGAGTTATTCATTACAAATACTTAACCATAAATAGAAAGTGGCTCAGGGTACCTAGAATAATTGGGCAAAAATTAAAGACCCACTGGTATTTTTGTGCAGAACGTTAAGTGATGTGAATCTTTTTCTTCCATTTCCCTTCAGGCTTAGGAATTACCATGCCACACACAAGCCCTTTGGAATTTGACCACATAACTAACTGCCTCTCTGTTAGGATGAGTACAGCAGGCCCGTCCTACAGTCCTCTCTCATTATCAACCATAGGAAAGGAGGACGGAACTCAGAACAAGCACTATAATAAGAAAAGGTATTCCAAATAACAACTAAACACACTTAATACCCTTCCTTTTAAAAATGAATTATCTTTAAATAACTATTTTAATTTCTTCTTTAGCATATTTATAGGATTCAGCTTACTTCTGGCTCTTTAGCATGTTCATTACAATTAAGTTAGCAATTTATAATGTCATTAAAGACACACATGTACCTATAGAAGTGTATTTTAAATATGTGATAACCAATATGTAAAGACTCACCAATGCTACTTTTCCTGCCATTGACATCAAATATACCAGATGGAACTTTCACAATACTGCCGCCCCATGCAGGAGGCTCAGGAGGACTCTGGGGCTCTGCACTAGGTTGTGAATGTTTGGCCACAACAGCAGAGACATCGCATACCTCTGGGAAAAAATATTTGGATGTTATCATTCCTATTTTTGCCAGTACTGAACAGAAACAAAGTATTTTTTTAATATATTTTATGTACTTTTTCTCTAAGTGGGGGTGAATACTTTTTCTCTATTTTATTACTGATTTATTTTATGCCATAAATGTTGCCAGTACTGACTGAAATAAATGTTTTATTTTAACATTCATAATCCTAACTTGAGCATTCCTGAGCGAATAAATTAAGGCTTTGGCCTTCTGTCACACTCCTCATCACTTGTCAAGTAGGAGAGGGGCTTGCTTCTGCATAATTCTAGAGCATAAAGTAAGTGACATCATTAAAGAAAGTGTACTTTTTTGTAAGAAGATAGGAAGACCAACGTATTATCAAAAAGCCAAAATATTCCTCCGTATTTCCTTAAAATGGCTACTACAAATCATTTCTCATTTCTATCTCAATGAGTCCCCTAAAAAAAGGAAAACTACACAGACTATATTGGAACCTACAAATGAAAAATATCGACTTAGATATTTGAAGGGCTTCTAGTGAAAGAGCACTTTAAAATAAAAGGTACACTGGAATACGAGTTTGATGACTCAGAGTTTAGTCCTGGTTCTGTCACAAAGTAGTTATTTAACACTGGCAAATGAATACCTTGATGGGCTGCAGTTTCCTACAAAGTTGAGGGCTGACCTACAGAGTCTCTAAAGATCTCTTAAATTCTAAAATTCAGAGACTACCAAAAATCTATCATATATAAGAGTACATAGTATCTTATAAGCCCAGACTTTACATTTCTGGAAATTATCACCAGAATTATCAAATAAGACTTTTAATTAATATAGGTATTTTTCTAAGTAAACCTAGTAAATATCAGTACTTAACCTTCTGTTTGCACTTTTGTTTTGGTTATCAAGTCTCCTGATACTTGTTCTTCAGGCACATGAATTTCTGCATCATCCTTTATAAGTTCATCCTTAGACCCATAGCCTTGGTCAGACTGACCACCTGTTAAAAAGAATGTAGGCTGACATATAAATGTTTTCATATGTTTATAGTCCAGCTATAAAATGTCAAAAGGAAATTCCACCAACTTACACAATTAAACTTGTAAAAAAAGAAGAGAAGAAAGCTCATGAAGCACACAAAACATTTTACAACAATGGTAAGCATCAAAGAACAGTAGAAACAGGAACATCAAAGACTAAAAACCATTACACACTTGGAAGCAGTGAATCTTAATTTAATTTCCTTATCTATAAATTAGCAGATTTGGATAAGATGTTTTGAAAGTTTCTTTTGGAGTGCATCTACAGAATGCTACCTTTTGCGTAAGAAAGAAGTGGAAATAAAACAAACATATATCTGCTTACTTTTGCAAAAAGAAATGCAGGAATAATAAACCAGAAAACAATAAAACTGGTTACCTACAAGGGATGGGGGAAAATAGGATGGAAGGGATTAAGAGAGAGGAAACTTCTCTAACTATGGTTATCATATTGTTCTTATTTTTGGAAATGTATTAACTTCTACATGTTCAAAAACTTACATCAGCAAAACCGAGGGCCAGGGTGTAACTAAAACTGAATGCACACGGAAACAAACAAAACCAATTGTTTATGAATAACATGATCACACTGAAAGGATGGGGCAGGACTAATGTAATGTGTAACTTTTAACACATTATTCTGAGTATATACCCTAGTCATGGGGGGTAACAGTCAAATCCTAAACTCCTTAGGTTTATTTCTCACAGGGGAATGGGTATAGCAATTCTGAAATTATATTATGTGCACTGTAGGACTGAGCAAATGAGTAAATGTGATGACGTTGGGAGCCAAGATTCTTACTGTGGAAGAAGAGAGATCTTTAAAAAGTGAAATGAAGGAAGGTAAAGAAAAACCTGTGGGGCTGATTTGGAATTAGAAGTCTTTCTAAAATACATACACATTTTTTCTACCTCTGCTGAAAAAGTCTAGAACGACAACACCCTGGAGGGAGTAAGCATTTCTAGAGCCCAAACATTCGTTTCTAAAATCTATTGCCCATGAAAAGGAACCTGGGATCCTTGAAGAAAAGGCCGATTCCAGAGCTCAGTCAGGGAAGGTACAAGAATGAGCCAGGAACGTTTTGTTATGCAAGAAAGCAAGTGATCAAAAACATGAGAGGACATTTCTAAAGAACATTCAAAAGAATATTATGTTATAAATGTGAGGGGACAATAGAGTTGGCAAAATCACCACCTTATAGCCATCACAGTAAAGATTGGTTCAGGCAAGAATCATCAATGGATGATAAATTTAAAAGAGAAAGTGTGATGAAAAAGAAGATATTGTTGCATAGTCTCAGTGTCCCTTCACAAATAGCTTATTATCTGCAAGGGGGATAATGGTAACTAATAGAAACCGAACACTGACATCAAGTGATCAAAATTAACATTACCAATGAGGGGCAGACAGACATTGTGTGCCTCTGGGTTGTGATAATCTCAGAAGGATTTAACATAATTTTTGTAGAAGAGCCATGGATGCATAACCTAATCTAATCACAGGGGAACATCAGACAAACTCAAATTTGGCAGCATTCCACAAAATAACTGGACTTATTCTTCAAAAAGGTCAAGGTTACAAAAGACAAAGAAAAGGTGGGGAACTGTGCCTGGTTAAAGGAGACTAAAGAGGAGTTAAAGCACCACATAGGACATTATAGCCTAAAACACTGGAATACAGACTATACATTAAAGAAGCAGAACAATGTTTTCCTGAATTTGGAAACTATACTGTGGTTATGTAACAGCAAATACCACTGAAGTATTAAGAGGTAAAAGGGCAAGATGTATGCAATCTGCTCTCACATAATTTAGGGGAAAAAAGTGCATGTGTACAGAAAGAAACTGATAAAGCAAATGTGTCAAACTAAAAGTGAATGAATCTAAATAAAACTTATTCAGGAGTTCTTCGTACTATTCTTGAAACATTTAATAAGTTTAAAATTAAAACTGAAATAAAGGCAAGTTACTAGGGGATCATTATAAAGGATGTCAATGAAAAACATAAAATATAGTGCCTTCCACTGTCTACCACTTTTTTTTTTTTTTTTTTTTTTTTTGCGGTACGAGGGCCTTTCACTGTTGTGGCCTCTCCCATTGCAGAGCACAGGCTCCGGACGTGCAGGCTCAGCGGCCATGGCTCACGGGCCCAGCCTCCCCGCAGCATATGGGATCTTTCCAGACCGGGGCCCGAACCCGCATCCCCTGCATCAGCAGGTGGACTCTCAACCACTGCGCCACCAGGGAAGCCCACTTTTTATTTTTATTTTTATTTTTTTGCTGTACGCGGGCCTCTCACTGTTGTGGCCTCTCCCGTTGCGGAGCACAGGCTCCGGATGCGCAGGCCCAGCGTCCATGGCTCAAGGGTCCAGCCGTTCCGCGGCATGTGGGATCTTCCCGGACCGCGGCACGAACCCACGTCCCCTGCATCGGCAGGCGGACTCTCAACCACTGCGCCACCAGGGAAGCCCCCACTTTTTATTTTTTCACTTTCTACCACTTTTTAAACTGCCTTTCAAACTTTGGGTTTGCCATATAACAAAAGAATTAAGCTTTTAAAAAAACTGCTATTTAGATAACCAACAAGGACCTGTTATATAGCACAGGGAACTATACTCAATATTTTGTAATAACCTATAAGGGAAAAGAATCTGAAAAAGAATATATATGTGTGTATGTGTGTATGTGTATATAACTGAATCACTGTACACCTGAAATTAACACAATACTGTAAATCTGTACTTCGATTAAAAATTTTTTTAATTCAAAAAAAGACTGCTATTTAGAATGACTTCTTTCAGTCATTTTTTTTTTTTTATTGGCCCCCCTCAGAAAGTCTGGTAAAGCATTACGGTGCCATGAAATGGACACTGGACTGGGAACTGAGTAAACTGATTAAACCCAGATATGCCCTCAACAAGCTAAGCGACTCAGTATCAGGTACTAAGTGGAAAGATTCTGTGAGATAATCCTTAATGAAAAGAGTAACTTAAGCATCTGGGCTGGAAGTCTCCAAAAATATCAGATGATATCACCAGAAACTCTACAGAGACACATAATCACTGTAAATTCAGTGTCAGAGCTTCAGTCATTTGAAATGTAGCTTAAAAGAAATATATGAAAAAGGGATCTGAAGTTTCTTTCCCAACTGGGGAATATGGAATCTTTATGCAGTTTCCCAGTAAATCTTTTTTTTGCCTTTAAAGGAGACAAGTTTAAAAATCCAGAGAGATAAGGAGAGTGTTTATCTATTATTATTATCAGTGAAATGGTTTCATACCACAAATTATTTTCTTGATTTTCCATAAATGAAATCCATTTATTCTATAAGCACTAGGAAAAAAAATACAGGAGGAAATAAAATAAGGTGGTTTTCAAATGAAAGTCTCATGAAAATTCCCACATGTTGAAAGAAATTTAATTTACAAACAGGATTTCAACTTACAGCTTTATGTTGACTTTCACCAATTTATACATGCTTCTGTAATTATGGGGATAGTTTTTAGTACAAGAATCAGCAGATCAGTTTCAGCAAGCAAAAACCACCTTAACAGCTGGAATACTGAAATCTTTAACGCTCATAAAACTATTTGACTCAATGATGCTACAAACCACCCTCAAAATAAGAATTGTAGCAAGGCATAGCATATTTTCAATTAAGATAACAAATATGCTTTGCAAATTGATCATAAAGTGTTAGTTGGTATTTTCAGTAGTATGTATATGATTACACGTATCTGAAGGAGAAAAAGCCAAGAAAACTAAAATTGCTTTCCACTTGCAACAGTACTTAAAATATAACAAAAGGCCTCTCCCCCACCCTTGCATGTCAGCAAAATTTAACCTAATAAATGGGAAATTACCTGAAGTGGTTAACATTCAAGGGTAGAATTAATGCACACGTGTATCCATAGCTTCACGTCACACAAGTCTGTCTGCACCCCACACCATGACAGCCAAGGACAAATGCAGCACCAAGAAACAGCACAGAGCAAAAAGCAGAGCAACAAAGAGCAGAGAAAAGGAAACTTCAGTCATTGAGACAAGTTCATCAGATGAAGCACAGGAATTAGACTCAGAATTCTTTTTAAAGAAAAGCTTGAGATATTAACAATAACAACAAAAAAGAAAAACACGAGAAGGATGTGCAACACACATATATCTGCTCAACGTGCTACTTTAATTAAGCTTATTTCTAACTTCAGAGGACAGAGATTATGCCCATAGCTTTGTATGTAAAAGCAGCTTCAGTAGTTTCTCAGATTTTAAAAAGCGTCATTTAAAGTAATGACTATGCAAAGAATACGTTTTTCTCGTGGTATGTGACTTATTTTCTTCCCTCTTTAATATTCATAATCTCAAATCTTTAATAAATATTATCCACTTAATGAAAAGAAGATTTGCAATTGTGTCACTAACAGTCAAGTTCCTCAGCTCACAATTCCTAACAATTATATCATATACTTTCACAAATTAATGATGAACGAACACAAAGAAGTACCATGTAAGAGCCTTTTGCACAGCACTCCCAAGTTTATTTTATACTATAGGAAAATAAAAGAAGTGATCTGCAATCAGAGGTGTACTTTCTCCCCTTATTTATGTATGGCATTTTTTAGGTATTCATATTGCACAAACTTGAGAGAGGAAGGTAAAAGCTTCTTTAAAAAATGGAAGGCTTAACATGAGAGTAAGTGAAGGGTTAGTAAAATCCAGATTTTAGTACCTGTGCTAGAGTGATTATCAGTGGAATCAAGCCTGATTAAATCTCTGACGAAGACTGTGTGCTCCCCACTGTTAGCATCATTAGAACTATCCACACTACCGTGGCTCACCGTGTCCCCATCACTTCCACCTGTGGCATTTTGAGGAGCTAAAGATAAGGACAACAGCAGTTCAATAACTCATGCACTGGTAATCTCTGAAACTAAACATGAGTGACTCACAGTTCATTTAAAGTTGCAGAATACTTTCTAAATTTGTGAGAGAAAAAAATAATTTTGGACTACGCAACCTCTATCTTTAGTAGTATATGAAAATATCAAAACTAGAATTTCATTTACGTTTTCTGCCTCATATAAGTAAAAATTCATATGTCTATAAAGCTTATGGTTCAGCAAGAAAGTATCTTTCCAACCACATTTATTACCTGATATTGAGGAGACCTGTGACTTTTGCACGGTATTTTTAAGTGGCTGCCTAAATTGTGCCAAGCCACGTACCACATTCCGTACCTTCATCCATAAGAAGATACCACTGCGGGTACTGCTAGGCCACGGGCTCTCCAAAACTACCTAAAGGTAAAATAAAGGTTAAAATAATCTTTATTAGGAATATTTGAATTTTAAAAAAATACATACACATATAATATATACAAAAAGAATTCCACCCCAAAACGTCTAAAAAAAGTTTCTTAAATAAAAGGCATGATAATAAATTTATCAATCTTAATAAGCAGCATATATTGCCTAATGTCAATCCCACTTACCTTATTATAATAGCCGTAAGTAATAGCATTTGGCTTTATTTTAGCAGTTTTCATTTCAAATAAAACTCTCACTGCTAAGACAGGATGACCCCAAAGTCCGCAAAGCTGCATTACTACTCGATAGCACACCTAACAAATAAGAACATCAAAGCATTAATAGTTAGCATATTAGTCTGTGACTTGCAGAGATTTTTAAATGACTTTACTCAATTCTTCTTTTCAAAGTTATTAAGCAATAGGTATTACTATTTTCTCCTTTGTTCTGGTTTGAGAGTCTCGGTAAACTATTTTTTAAAACTATTCATCAATGGAAGTACCAGCATTATTAACTTTTCCACATAAGAGCTATGGGCACATGTGCCGTTTGTTTCAGTAACTAAGTTTACACAAAGAAAACAACTATTATTTTCCATACTATGAGAAGGAATTCATTTTTAAAACCAAGCATGATTAAAATAGCTCTCTCCCAAATCATGTTCTATATTTTATGCCAAAGGAATTAGAAGCAGCACCTCCAGAATACCTACATAACAAAAAGGATTCTATGAACCCGTGTCTTAAATAAAGTATGAGAAGAAAGTTAAAAACACTGTAACATTATTAGCAAAGGCTTTTCTGAGAATATGCGTTTACTGAAGAGGGCTAAATTTGATCAGAAGAGGATGACTCAATGGGGAACTCCTAAAAGTTAGAATATCCCATTTGGAAGACAACAGTAGAAACCATAAAGAATGAAACAGGAATCTCATGGATCCCTGGCAAAGAGGTGAGCCAGTTTACAAAAGCAGTGAACAAGGCAGCCCTAGAGCTTAATCTGAGAATCAGAAAATATACATAAAAAAGATACTCTTCTTGGGACTTGTAAAATGTCCTCTGTTTATAACAGAGCTGTTTAACAACTGTGAGTACCATAAAGCCAAGTTGCACTCTCTACTAAAGGGGAAAGTAAACAGATTTGAGAAAGGATAGTTTATTCAAGAGATGAAGTAAGGAAAGAGGTGTGAAGAGGCAGAGGATCATAAAGATGAGTACTCTCAAGCTAGAAATGGGAAGTTTAATTTAGGAGCAGAGGAGTTCAGAAACTGTTAGAGCAACTTCATAAATGACTAGGTTAAAGAAGTGTTAGGAAACTACATAAATTAGGAACAAATGGGAGAACTAGGTAAGATGTATGACGCGATTAAGAAGAATGTGGCACAAGAGTTCTTCAAATATCTGAAGAGCTGTCACTTGAAAGAAGCAGTAAACAGCTTCTGCAGTCCCAAAAAAGCCGCAGGGAGGTGGAACTGAACTCAGCATAAAACACAAACTTTCTAACAAAGCCAACTCAAGCATAGGCAAGGTCTCATATATTACAGACTTTCAACATCTCAGGTTTAGGTTGAAGTTTTACTAAAATATCTTGAAGTCCTATTCAACTCTAAGATTCTATGAGCCATGAAGAAGTAAATCACTTTCTATGTCAAACTGGGATTAATCTAAAATTTTCCAAAACCATTCTCGACAATTAATTTATTCTGAAGTCTACAAACTATTCCTCCAAACTTCCAGGCTTACCAGTATAAGAGCCAGGCATCAAACTAAAGAAACAGTAATAATGCCAGGGATATAATTTTTTAATTGCAGTATTTTGTTGCCTACAACATGATACCTTTTGGATATCTATGACAGATAAAAGATGGCCACAAACTCTTTGCTACTCCTCCCGTGAGAGGTCTATGTCCCTTCCCCTTGAATTGAGGGGGAAAGCCTCTGAGATTACATGACCAATAGAATTTGCCTGAAGTGACAACTGTACCAGTTTCCTGGCTTAAGCCTTAAGAAAGGTCATTTTCCACTTCCTCTTGAAACAAATGCTCTTGGAGTGCTAAGCTATCATGGGAAAAGCCCAAGTACCACATGGAGAGGTCTGAGACTACATGGAGGAAGAGGGGTCCACCTGAGCCCAGCCTTCCAGATAACCTTGCCAAGGTACCTGGCTGGCATGTGAGTTAAAGCTGTCTTGGACCTTCCAGACCAGACCAGCTAGCAACTGATTACAACCAAGTGATTCTAAGTAATACCATGTGGAGCAGAAAAATCACCTCAAATTCTTCCTGGATTTTCAGCAAATAAAATAATAAGATTTAATAAAATTTAATAAAACCATTTAATAAAATGGTTATGGTAATAAAATGGTAATAAAATGGGGTGGTTTGTTACTCAGCAATGTACAACATCTTTATGAATAGACTGATGAGACAAGGTAAGAATAAGCTTGACACAAACATTTCATTTCCATTAAAAATTTAATAAATAGTATTAAAAGCAAAACACATTATGCATTTTAACTTTAATTTAGCCTACATGGCATATGCTACTTCTGGGTCTTTACTAGTTTTATTTAAAAATCTACGTTATTACAACTTCTGCAAACATAACATGTAGAACACAAAGCTGTCAAAACATTAAGCATATGAATGAGACAATGGGTTCTAATGGATTATGAACCTAAAAATAAAAACCACTTACTTGCTAGGTGGCCTTATGTGTGTGTCATTTCATCTAAGTTTCAAATTTCTTTCTTTGTAAAATATAGCTAATATATAATTGCCTCATAGAGTTGCTGGGAATACCAAAGGAAATAATGTACATAAAAATACTGTGAAAATTTTAATGTGCTATTCTATGTGTAATCAATAAACAAATAAAATGCATCAAATATGCCAAGCAAATATGCATCCTTAAGTTTTAAAATAAAGAAACACTTCTTTCTTCCAGTTGTAGAGATGTAATTACTTCAGGTGACTACAAATCTGTCAATATAACTTGTTAGAAGTAGGAATACAACAAATTAACCTCCAAATTTTTAAGCCTCCTATCAGTGTTTATTGGGAAATAGTCTAAAAAACGTTTTTAGCTTACTAGTCATAATTGCTACATGTTAGAAAATAGGAGAATGTAATTACTTGTAACAAAGACTACCTTAGAACCTTAATATGTATAGAGGAGATTACTTTTCAGGCAATTTGTCTTATGAACTTATCAAAGAAACTTAAATCAAGTATTGTGCTTTGAGTTTAGAGTGTAGTAACAAAATTAATACTAGCTCTCTCATAGAGCATATTTTAAAGCACATTAAAAATATTCTGTGCTTGCACAAAGTTAAAGCACATCTTAAAATATATCTTAGATATATTATCTTAGATATATCTCTATCAGAATAAGTTTTTTAAAACATTAAAATGTATGAGGTACAAAACACTAATTCTGATCAAGCACTTTTAATTTCCAAATAGTTTTTTTGCGGTACGCGGGCCTCTCACTGCTGCGGCCTCTCCCGTTGCAGAGCACAGGCTCCGGACACGCAGGCCCAGTGGCCATGGCCCATGGGCCCAAGCCGCTCCGCGGCATGTGGGATCCCCCCGGACCAGGGCACGAACCCGCGTCCCCCGCATCGGCAGGCGGACTCCCAACCACTGCGCCACCAGGGAAGCCCTCCAAATAGTTTTATAAACATCAGATGAGAGAAAATGTAATCAAATGTGAGAATGGATATTTTACTTGTTTTATAACTTTATCTTTTCATTTGAGAAGTTTTTTAAAACATACAGATAATACTTAGAGAAAAATGAGTTTTAGTGTGCTCACAGCATTATCAAATCTTAATAACATACATGCTTTATCAGTTTCAGATCTTTTTTATTTTATAAGAGGAGAAAATTACAGTTATTGCTGAAGCCTATAATGTGCCCCTCCTCATTCGCATTTCTCTTCTAGCCTTGTGCTCTCTCCTCCCCAAACACCCATTACTCTGAATTTTTATTCCAACTTCCTTTTAAATTCTGATCTGGTTCTAAATAATCATTTTAGTTATTTTAACACCAAAAGTAACTTTTAAAGGGAAAAACAGCAAAGAGAAGAGCTAAATAAGTAACTCAGTTTCTTCAATCGTTAGTTGGATAATACCACTACCTATCTCTGAGGATGGTTCTGAGGCTTAAGAGATGTAGCACATTGTTCACTGAGCGCTTACTATCAGCCAGGTACTGGTCTAGGCACACTATGTACATTAACTGATTTAACTGTCAAATTAACCATTTGAGGATAGGAACTAAATATTATATACCTCAGTGGGGCAATTTTATCCCCCTGGTGACATCTGGCAATGTCTGCAGACATTTTTGATTGCATGGAGCTACTGGCACCTAGTGCACAGAGGCCAGGGATGCTGCTAAACATCCTACCATGTACAGGACAGGACCCCACAATAAAAAATGATGTGGGCCAAAATATCAATGGTGCCAAGGTTGAGAAACTCAGACCTCCATTTTCAGACACAATCTGAAACACAGATAGGTTATGTAACTCACCTAGGACACAGGTCCTAAGTGGAGAGCCACTTACTAAAGGCCTATTTGCTTCCTAATAAAGTTATCTTGAGAATAAAATTAAGTCAATATGTTTTTCTATTTATCAACGGTAAACAATCTGGTCTAAGGAAGTCAGTCTCTGCTGCATTTTTTTTTTTTTTTTTTTTTGCGGTACACAGGCCTCTCACTGTTGTGGCCTCTCCTGTTGCGGAGCACAGGCTCCGGACACGCAGGCCCAGTGGCCACGGCTCACAGGCCCAGCCGCTCCACGGCACATGGGATCTTCCCAGACCGGGGCATGAACCCGTGTCCCCTGCATCGGCAGGCGGACTCTCTACCACTGCGCCACCAGGGAAGCCCTCTGCTGCATTTTAAAGCAATAATTTTAAAATAAATGTATTTTAAAATAATAAGTATTAGCTCTAGGAAACAGGATAACAATTTTACCTTTCCTACTTAATGAAAATATTCGAGGATACTGGAAAGCAACTGAGACCTAAATTTTCTTAAAAATACAAATAAAATTTATCTTAGTAACAATAACTCAATTTGTTATACTTGCCTCATCTAGAGGATCCACATCTGTTTTCCTCATCTTAATAAGTACATCATATGCCTGCTGAAGTGCTCTGACCTTAGGATGAGAAACTCTAACATAGGCTGGGAGACAAATAAACCATAAACTGTAACAGTGACTGAAGAGACACTTGGCCCATTGTGGTGGATTTGTATAACATCTCTTCGCCAACTTATGAGCTGTTTTTATCTCCTAGAAAGAGAATAAATAAAACATCATGACATTCACTAAAATTCATTAGTATGATAGGAAAAGTGAGAAGTAAAAGGAAGAGAGGAATTTAATGTAAAATTTGACTCTAAAATCAAGCATTTCATAGTTTTGCTTTTGTGACTGGCTTCCTACTTAGTGCCCCATGGTTCTTTCTATAGAAGCACTTTACACTGAATTTTAACTATTTGGCAAGCAGGTGTCTCCTAATAGACTAGAAATTCCTTAAAAGCAGAGATCATTCATATTATTATAATACAATGGGTAACTAAGTGCCCCTCACACAGAAGGCACTCATATGTTTGATGAATGAAAGGGATTTCATTTATAGCTTATAATTCTATAGAATCATTCTTGAAAAAGTCAGAGTCTTCTCACTCTTCCCCCTGATAAAAAGTTTAAGATGCCCTAGGCTATCCCCCACCAAGATTTCCACTCTACCTTCTGTGTTAATTCCTTCACTGACTGATTCGTTAAAAAGACCTGTTCCTTTGCAGGCAACATAGTCTGAGAAAGATCACAGACCTTCCTACCTAACAGTTTTATGGCATGTTTTCTAGTTCTGATTTTCATTCTGATTTAGGTGGAAGAGAGAAAAAGGTATCAAAGTCACCTGCAGAGCGTTATCAAACTCTACATATTCCCAGAAACTATAGAGCCCTCCATACATGTCAGACTGCCACTGTCTGCCTTGCACTAAAGATCCCTCTGCGGGATGTGTCCTAAATAAACATACTGTTATGAGCTCTATTTCCAAGACACTTGCCTGGAAAAAAAATTCTGGTGAAAATGAGATTTAAAGATGTAGTAGCAAAATTGTCACATTAAAAAAACTTGCCTTTATTAAGCTGATAATGGTTAAAAAAAAAAATTCCCCTCAGACAGCACAGAGAATTGTGCACTATATGGGATTAAGGATCACCTCAGGTTACCCCTAGGATTTGAGGGACTGTACATGAATTGGTAAAACCTGAACTAAGAATTTCATTCCGAAATTTTCCATGTTTTGTAGACCCCCAAAATATCAGTATATGTATAAAGGATGTTCAATTTTAACTCACACCTAACCATAGTTTAACTCTTTATACCTAAATCAGATATAGTATTAAAACAAGATGTCTAGGTTGTCCTAAGTTAACTCCCCTTAGAATGTAATATTCAGTAGAAAATATATTTACATTAACCATGAGGAAAAATCAAAATCACAATGAGATACCACTTCATATACGTTAGGATGGCTATAATCAAAAAGACAGAAGATAACAAGAATTATCAAGGATGTGGTAAAATTCTGACTGCTGGTGGGAATTTTAAATGGTGTACCCACTTTGGAAAACAGTCTGACAAGTTCTCAGAAGGTTAAACACAGAGTTACTATATGACACAGCAATTCTACTTTACGCATATAACCCAAAGAAATGAAAACATATAACCACACAAACACTTGTATACAAATGTCTACAGCAGTACTATGCATAACAGCCAAAAAGTAGGAACCATGCACATGTACATAAATGGATAAATAAAATATTCCACACAATGGAATATCATTCAGCAATAAAAATACATGAAATACTGATACATTCTACAACACAGATGAACCTTAAAAACATTAGGCTAAGTGAAAGAAGCCAGTCACAAAATGCCACATACTGTACAATTCCGTTTTTACGAAATGCGCAAAACAGGCGAAACTATAGACACAGAAAATAGATTAGTGATTGCCTGGGGCTGTGGAAGATGGAGGAACTGTGGGGTTAACAGCTAAAGGGTACGGGCTTTCTTTTTAGGGTGATGAAAATGTTCTATGATTGTGATGGCGGCTGCACAACCCTGTGAAGATACTAAAAGCCAGTGAGTATACTTAAACAAGTGAATTGTATGGTATATGAATTATGTTTCAATAAAGTTTTTTTTTTAAGTGTATTTAGCTCCCAAGGTTCTCTTAGAACATAAACATAAGCATTCAAAAACTTCAGCCTCAATATTATAAGTAGGGTTGCAAGAAATCGATTTTAATTCATTAACCATAGTGAGTCTTCAAATGATTGCTGTGGGTGACAAGTCTGAACTATGAGCTGCATATCACATATACATAGTTTACATTTTAAATTAGATAAAGAATATCTGACCTGTTTAGTTCTCTTAGCCATGAGAGCTGGACTGTTTGTAATGCTACTCCCAGTAGGGTGTCTACTAAAACAAAGTTTCAACTCCTGTGGTCTGTCAAAAAGCTTAAGGTCCAGTCTTGGAAAGTATTTGTAACTAAAATAAAAAGCAAAAATAGAACTGCTGATTTAAAGTACATTAACTCTTAACATTATGCCAGAATTTAGGTGAATATTACTAAACGTCAAATGTACCCAATATTGTTTTCCAAAATCCTTGTATAGAAATTTTTTTTTTCAAAAATATAAGGTGATGCAATTATAAGATACATAGACTATCTACATGGAAACTTTGGCTCCTCTGCATCCTATTATTTTCAATCAATCCCTAAAACACAGAAAACCCTGACATCTTGACAGAAGAATTAGTAACCCTTTCAACAGGACCCATGTGTTCAATGGTAACTTATATTAAAAGATAACATTTAGTATACTTTGTAATCTTGTTTTTCTTTATAAAAGTACCTTGCATTCACATTTACAAGGAAAAAAACCCGAATATTTTTATATTAGGGATGTGCCATAATTTAACCAATTCTTTACTGTTGGACATTTTTAGGTTATTTCTCAATTTCTGCAATTAAGTATCTTTGTACATTTATCTTTGTGAGTACTTTTATTTAATTTCTTATAATAATGCCCAATAACAGTTTTCTATGGTAAATATTTATCAAGAAAATAAAAATTATTATAATCACTATCAAATTACTTCCAGAGAGGTTATACTTACATACACTCTAACTAGAAGGATAGCCTATCCTCAAGCTGATAGATTAAAAATGCTTCTACTACTCATTTGGTTTGCATTTCTTTAAATACTAGAAAAGCTTAACATACTTTCATATTATCAACTATTGGGATTTCTTCTCAGTAATTGCCTAGTTATTTCCTTTGGGGCCAATCTTCTGAAATATATTGCCTTTCCTATTTGATTTACTTATTTGTCAATACCTGCATTCCAATGTATAGAGATCAAAGCCAAAGTAAAAAGGAGTTCTATAATTAACATGCAATCAAAATAGTATTTAATTAAACCACTCAATCTCAGGTATACATTTTTCATTCTTATGGAGTCCTGGTGAGATTATATATTAATTCTATATTTTTGGAAAACACTTATTTTATATTCCCTTTGCCCCAGAAATTCTTTTATGAATACAGCCAAAGAAAATAACTATGTATACACACAAAGGTATAGATAGCAAAGAACTATAAATAAATCCACAGGAGACTAGTTTAACAAATCACAATAAATGCATGCAATGTGGTTATTTAAAATGAATGGCACAAAAATATATATTGGCATGGAAAAATGTTCAGACCATTAAAGGCAAACACACGTCACAAAGAATATGTGCAAGATGAACTAATATTTGTTTTAAGTATAGTAAATGCAAATTTATGTACAAAAAGACAAAAAAGATATACATATAATTGTTAATAGACATTAAGTATTGGTGCTAAAACGATGTGTTAGTTTTTTTGTTTGATTTTCTAAACCTATTAAATGGTATTCAAATGGTCATAATAATAAATGATCAAACATTTTAATTTCTTAAAAGACTCCCATCCAAATCCTATAAGTTTATTTTAATAAAGAATGATTCCTGGCCCTCTACTTTTAAGTTTTCTCTGATATATTACTAATGCGTAAGAATTTCACAGTCCTTATATTGACAACAAAATCCCCCAAAGGGAGGGGGAACCTCACAAAAGTAAATTTTTTCTTCTTCAGAAATGAAATTTTTAAAGATTAAAATATGGTAAATGTTTTGGTTACCAGTGATAAACATCTGGTTTCCCTTCCAACGGGGCTGTCCAATTCTTAAATTACAATACCTGGTGATATCTCCATAAAATGTTCATCTCCATTAGTTCACTAAATACATTTTGAAAATGACCTTCACAAGTGATTACTATACAACATATCTATTAATAATCACAAAAGATCAAATTATTAAAGCTGTGTCCAAACAACTCTTTAAAAAAATTCGTGTTACCTGTACTTTGGTGACAGATCCTTTCCATCATCAGGTGGTGGCTCGGGTGGCATTATGAACACAGTATGCTCACTTTTCTGTGAGTCATCTAGCTCTATCAATTTGGTGTCTTCTGCTGAATCAAAATCAACCTAAAAATAATTATTTTCTCCAATTAATTTGCATATAAGCAAGACCTGATTCTGAAACGTTAAAACTTAAATTTAAGAAAAAATACCTTATCTGTTTTCTCTGTGCCTTTATCAGGAAACAACTAGAAAAAAAGAAAAGAATTCTTAGTGAAAATGTCCACTCTGAATTTAATAGAGATTATCTTAAATTATTATTTAAAAAACTATCCTTTTTTAATACTAGGCAGATATGAAACACTTCACAATATATTTGGTGGCCTCCATACTACTAGGCTAAAGTATAATATTTCTCTTACGGCTATTAAGAGAGAAACAATTTATTTTGACTGGTTCCTTCATAAGTCCCTCTTTAGAAGCACAAGATGGGGAGGGGGTGGGATGAATTGGGAGATTGGGATTGACATATATACACTAATATGTGTAAAACAGATAACTAGTAAGAACCGGCTGTATAAAAAATTAATTAATTAATTATTTAAAAAAAGAAGCAGGGCTTCCCTGGTGGCGCAGTGGTTGAGAGTCTGCCTGCCGATGCTGGGGACACAGTTTCGTGCCCTGGTCCGGGAAGATCCCACATGCCACGGAGCGGCTGGGCCCATGAGCCATGGCCGCTGAGCCTGCGTGTCCGGAGCCTGTGCTCCGCAACGGGAGAGGCCACAACAGTGAGAGGCCCGCGTACCAGAAAAAAAAAAAAAAAAAGCAGCAAAAGATGGGCAATCACAAGGAGAACCTGGCTTCTCAAATCAAAAATTTCATTATTACTAAACCCCTGCATTACTGATTGATATTATCTAAGCTTCTCTCTAACTGAATGATAATGGACTATCAATATTTAAGTAAACAAAAACGTTGAAAAGTTTTAATCATATCCCTGGAGTTTTAGATCACACAGATATAATGGGAGAAAATTATTCAAGTCTTCTAAGATACACGAATCATTAGGAGCCTATAAAAATTACATCATAATATTCTACCTTTTTTGGATAAAATCTCCAACTTTATATAATATAGTTTGCATAAACAATCAGCCCCAAGACCCACTTACAAAAATAAGAGCTCTGTTAAAAAATGAGAAAAAATATGTGAGTTATCACTGTCAAAAATCAACTTAAACTTCCTTACGATGGGTGAGTAAAGCTTTAAAATTTAACATATTTCCGGGGCTTCCCTGGTGGCGCAGTGGTTGACAGTACGCCTGCCGATGCAGGGGACACGGGTTCCTGCTCCGGTCTGGGAAGATCCCACATGCTGCGGAGCGGCTGGGCCCGTGAGCCATGGCCGCTGAGCCTGCGCGTCCAGAGCCTGTGCTCCGCAACGGGAGGGGCCCGCGTACCGCAAAAAAACAAAAACAAAAACAAAAAAAATTTAACGTATTTCCAAATAGCTCCCATTAGGACAAAAGAAATATATGAGCAAAAATATTTGGAAAAACATTAAAACAAAAGAACACAGGACTTAACACAGGACTTCCATTACCCATAGAGCTAATCTTTTGTTTTGTTTTGTTCGTTTTTTGTTTTTGATTTTTTTTTTTTTGGCTGCACTGCACGTCTTGTGGAATCTTAGTTCCCTGAACAGTGATCGAACCCAGGCCCTCAGCAGTGAAAGCATGAAGTCTTAATCACTGGACTGCCAGGGAATTCCTAAAACTAAACTTTTTTAATGAACTACTAAATCTTATCTTATTCATGTAAAAAAAAAAAAATTCAGGAGCTTCAATGAAATGTTCTTAGTACTTAATACAAAACCTAAGTGAGATTCAAAGAGAAAAATTAGCTATGTATGGCAGTACTAGATGCCACAAAGGAAAATAATTCTTACATTAAGCCCAGAATTGGACACTCGCATGTGTACACACACACACACACACACACACACACACACCACCTATAATGCCTTCCTCAGGTAATTTGGGCTAATAATAACAATGATGATTATAAAGGTAAACAAACAAAGTTTTTCCTTAATACTGACATATAGGACAAACTTTTACCTTTTCTATGCAGTCATCAAAAAAAGCCAATCCAGTATCTTTATCACTTACAAAACTACATTCTTCAATGAAACGAATAAAAATCTGTGTTTTGGTTAAAACAGTGTAGAATTTTGTATAGGCACGATCTCGACTTTTTAAAAATCCTGAAGAAAATAAAATTAGAATTAAATTCAGATTTTAAAGTGGAGCTAGATGTTATGTTAATTATTTTAAACTTGTATATATCTATATTATTTTCTCTTTATATATATACACAAAGGGAAAGA